CACTTCTTCATTCCCCTGAACCTGGCCTGGCTGCTTAGTGCAACTTTCAAGAGGACCTTAGTGACCAGTGACTCCAACAGGCAATTCTGACAACCAGAGATCCCTGAAGTACGGGGAAGGCCTGCCCACATTGCCTTTTCCTGGACATGTCCCCTACGCCAGCCGTAGGGTGTCCGTGTCTGGACTGGGATATGAGCCATTATGCTGGCTTTTTGCCGCAGGAGGAGTCCGAGTCCCTAGACAATTGGAAGAGCCTTGTTTGGCTGGCTGTGCTGACTTTCAGGCACTTTGAGCTCATGAGGCGGCACAAGGTAGCCTGAACATGAAGGAGAATCTAAGCATTGATCTCTCTTCCAGACTGATTTGCAAGTCAATGCTGTATTAACCTCATGAGTACAAGTTTCTTTGGAGGCCATTCTAATGTGGGCAATGATATGATCCAGCCATCTCTTTATAGCAGGCATTTTACCTCAAGGCTATTGAATGCCCCTCAGGGGAATAGGTAGGTGATGAATTTGTTGTGAAAAGGGTAGGGCTGATACTGTAGACTTTAATCCCTTGCTTTCACTTGTTTCTTTGACCCACTGGAAGAAATTGATTGGCCTGATATTAGTTTTTAATCTGACAGCAGACAGAATGAGGTGCAGGTTGAGTCATGTTCCACTTTGTAGCAGTTTTCACTCTTAGGTGAGGACAGATTGAAGTGAATATAAAGCACTGCATGTAAAGCAGGGAGATCACTTTTCCACAGGCAGTTTATTTTACATGCTGCCTAAGCATCATCATAAAGGCATGGTTCAGAGTCTGCCTTTTAGGGAAGGCATCTGAGTCAGCTTCTCTGAGACAGCCTTGTTCCTCATCAAATTTTGTTCTGTTCATTTCCGTAAGATGCTATAAAAGAGTTTACTCACGTTGCTGCTAACACAGATACCTCTGTAGTTGTCTGGGGGTGAGAACATTGTATGTGATGGAGTAATTAGCCCTTCTAATCAGATTGCAGGGTCTCTGGATGGGAGAGTCTACAGTAGTTTAACCTCTCCTCACGTAGGTAGCAGTGGGGTGTTTCTGCATCCAGTTTAATAGGCTGTCTAGGCCACAATATTTCATAGGTCAAAGATCCAAGAAAACCTCCTGAAAGGTTTCTGCTTGGAAATACAGGTACCTGGATCAAGAGACAGCAGCTGTGATTAGTCTAAGCAGCCCCTAGGTGTCACTCGCACTCCACACATAACTGCGGAGCATTGCAATCGAACTGGGTTTACCCTGGCACCATAACTGACAAAATACCTGAAACACAGCGGATGGTGAATGCTGTAGGTAGCAGTGAGGTGAGGGGGGGAGTGGCAGACAATAGAGGGCTGGAAAGTGCCTCGGTGACCGGTGATAGTAGTGTTGGGCAGAGGGCACCATTAAATTTGTTCAGAAAAGTCCGGTAACTTCTTTCTTCTCCAATGCGCTGCTCTTAGTGCCCAAAGAGGAGCAGCGATTATAGCCCCTCCGCTTGGTATCAAACAGTGATTGTCGTGCCTGGGGAGGGCTGGCACTAAATTTAGACTATAGAGGTGTATGTTCAGTGTGCCTAACTTTTAGGGGTGACTCCTGCTCCATTGCCCTCCCCACAGTTTGAGGGGGGCTGTCCCTTTAGGGGTGCCTCCCTGCATCACTGAGAGTAGCAATGGCAGCCAGTAGCTGATGCATTAGTGTGGTTCACAGGACCAGCTACCACCTCCCCACAAGCCAGGACAGTGTGTGTCTGTGTGAGATCTATTCCTTTAATGTTGCTCACTTGCCCACACTGGTCTAGCATCTAGCAATGGCCCTGTGACTGGGGCTGGGAAGGACCTTGGGGGTCCAAGCTAGATGTTGCTGAAATAGCTTCCTGAGATGATGAAGAGACAGCTCTTGTAGATTAGTGGGTGAAAACAGACAGTGCCCCGTTACCTCAGATAGTCTCTTGCGATGCTGCAGTTGTAAATTGCTGTCTAATTTCTCTAGGTATTTATACCATGCCCCTCACCATGGAATCCAGTTTCAACAGCTGCAAGCATTAAAACAAACCCTTGAGATTGGCTGTAAAATGATGAGCTCTTACAGACCATTTGGGTTCTCTTTCTGTTTGCCTTCTGGTGGTGGATCCTTTAAGGGTTATGTTTTCAAACTTTTCTCCACAACCCTGAGGGCTAGAATCTTTCATTATAAAATGTAACCTGAGATTACCACATAGTTTCTGAAAGCCACATCTCCTGGGTTCATGTAACTCCCCAGACATCATGCAGCTTGTGATTAGAATCACAGGAGACTGCTGACGCGGGCTGAGCTCTTACCTACAAGGAATGGTCAACATGACAAAGTCAGCAATGGACAGAAGACACCCCCATTCTCCGCAAAGGGGGGAGCTGCTGTAGCTCTTGACAAATGTTGACTTTAAAGGCAGCTTGCCTGCGAAAATAATATTATGCCTCTGTTTGTTCTTGAAAACGTAATCATTGCTGTACTGTGGCCAAACTCTTCTTGTTCTCATTATTGACCTATTTTTTTCAGGATACTAAACACCTTTGACGCTGCTTTTGGGATAGTTAATCAACAAGGCTGTCAGGATGATGGGTTCTTCCTGAATTATTGCTTAATTGGCTTTGTTGGCGGTATAAATCAAGTGGAATACCAATTCTTTTAAAGCTACAGCCAGGCAGCCATGCTGAGCCTGACAACGATGAGTTATAAGTTTCTGCCACAGAGCCGTATGGGTGTGCCACCTCAGACCCACAAAAGCAAAGGGACTGCCAATTCATTTTGAAGACTCCCTGTCCTGCAAAGGCTTAAGCATGTGTGTAACTCTGTGGGCTGTAGACCCATTGATTTCAGTGCTGACTTGCTTAACTATTTGCAGGCCTGGGGCCTTAGATACCAGGTGAAATCTGGTCAACGTCAGACTGAGTAGTGACCAAAAGTCAATACTGCCTGGGGCCTATTCAGTGGCATATGTGTATGGAGTTACACCATTTGCTTCCTAGTATTACAAACCCTCCACCAGCACAGCTGGCACTGATTGTCACATGAGGCCAATTTCAATGGGCTGTAAGATCTCGATCCACAAGGGGACTGGGGCGTTCTAGACACCTTGAAAATCACTGGAACAACAATGGGATCCAGAAATGCTGTTAGGCTCCTAGATCATCCAGACAACAAATGTGGAGAGAGAGAGAGAGAGAGGTGCGTAAGAGCGGGATCCACAAAAGCTAGGTGACTCCCCACATAAGCTAGCCAATGCAAGATGATGACAAGAGGGGTGTGTCTTAAGCCCCACCCCTCTGACAGAGTTAGGCACCTAAATCTGAGCTACTGGAAGGAGTCTGCCTTTGCTTGCAACCCATAGCCAGATTCTCCAGAGTCAGGTGGCTTAGGTGCCTAAGCTGTTTCTTGAGAGAATGAGTTAGGCACCTGTCTCACTCCATGCGAAACCTCCAGAAGGGGCGGTGATGGAGGCTTCCCTTCTAATCTTTAGCCCAGTGGTTAGGGTTCTCACCTGGGATGTGGGAGACCCCGATCTAGTTCCCTTCTCTGCCTGATGAGAAGGGGTTTGAACAGTCCTCCTTCCCTCACCCCGACCTGCCCACAACACCATTTGTGGGGAGTGAGGTGGTCTCTGAGCATGCCCACCAAATCAAGTGTGTCTCTCCCTGGAGGCGAGAGAAAGAGAGGTGTGCTGTCTTCCCCCAGTTCATGGGTCTCATGGGGGCTTAGGTAGCAGGAGATAGTCTAGATGCCTGCTTGAGACAGCAGTGCATGTTTAAAGGCAGAACCATAGGTGTCTAGGGAACTTTTACTGCAAATATTCAGGCACTGAGTGAATTTCGGATTAGGTGGCAGCCGATGCTTAATTTGCGCCAGGGCTGAGCCCCTGCGTGGTGGCGGGTTTTTTTTTTTAACCATTTTTTGGCTTTGTTTTTCAGTTTGGAGGAATTAATTTCTGTTGCCAATTTTGGTTGGGTTAGCTTAGTCACACTTTGAAAAATGAAGAATTGTCTGCTTAGAAAACTACTGAAACAGAATAATTTTAAGTCTTCGTGAACCTTTTTTTTTTTTTTTTTTTGACATTTGAGATCAGTGACAACTGCCTGTCTGACTAATGCTTTGTGGGTGTATGCTTTAGAAATATAATAATAGAATATTAGAGATGGAAGAGACCTCAGCAGGTCATCTAGTGAAACCCCCTGCTCAAAGCAGGACCAGCCCCAACTAACCCTGTATCTTACTGAATGCTCCATGTGAGACACACTTTGGAGTTACTCTAACATATTAGCTGCTCCAGCATGGAATGTCATATTGCCACATGAGTAAATCCACTGCTTGCATCTAGAAAGTCTGAAGGAAACTTGTTTTGTAGGTTCTGCTGAAGTATTCTGAAAGTGATATTGCCATGACAACACTGAATAGCCATCATACACCAATATTTGCGTCCTTCTTGGCATTTGCGCAAATAGAGCTTGCATGGGCGCGGGTTGTTTTTTTTTAAAAGTGATAGATCATTAGTTTGTTTTTAATCATCATGATAAGAGCCGATGAGCAGATCTTTTGCCTGGGCTAGGGACGGTCCATGCTTCTTTTGTAACCTTTGGAGGAAAAACTAGTTCCCATGTTTTAAGACGTTAGGACAAAGAGAGAGAGAGTGGAATTCAAATAAACTTGTTCCTTTCCAGTCTGATGTATAGAAGCTGCTAATTAGAAAAAGATCTATTGGGCTATCCAGTCTGTCTTGTTGCCAAGCAAGATTGTTCCCTATTGTCAATTTCCTAATGCACTGTCCGGTCTCATTTTTAGAAAGTTCTAAGCGATGGGCCTACTACCAGTTCTGACTGAATTTGTCCTGGAAGGGGGATCAATGTTACTGACTAGCTCCAACCTGCCTTTTTGTTTTGGCAACAAATATCTCCCTGTTCTGATGAATTTAGTTTCTTTAAATATGTAGAGTGTCTAATTTAAAAAAGAAGTCCTGGTTTTATCTGCATATGTAATTAATTTCCTCACAAAATGGTTCTGGTATTTAGACTTAAAAAAAAAAAAATAAAACCCCAGAATAATTCTGCTTACACACAAACATTTTCCATTAAATTAAACAGTGATCTCTCTGAAAATACAGGACCCGAGTCTGCTAGCATTTGCTTTACAGTAGTGTACATGGAGTTAATCCTGATTTACTCCAGTTCCTGAAGCTGATCAGGAACACTATCATGTATGAGGATGGGAGACCGCCTGTAGACAATACTTCCAAACATCCCTTATCCATGGATGAAATGGGAGCAAATATGTTCTTCCCAAGGCTTTCCTGTCTTCTTCCATGAGCGTCTTTTAGAATTCCCTTCCCTTCCTCTTCAGATGAAGTCCAGCTTGTCTAAGAAAGAGTCCATGTTCACAAACATGAATACTGCTAGCCATGTGTTATTGGTCCAAGAAAGCCCAGCTCATCAATCAGCGCTGCTTGGCTTGTTGAAAGCCACATTGATAATTCTTGTATGAAAGGCACTTGGGCTGCATCACATCAAGAAGCATCTGAGCTGCACAGAATGGGGAGGAAGGGCTTGTTAGAGGCAGCCAGAGGGCAATGTCTTATTAAACTAATAATGATACTATTTGTGTCTCCCCTTCATAGATCATTGCAATACTGCAAGGCCTGCTGAGAAACCATGTGCACAACAACCCACGCCCAGATTCACCACTGGAATTCTGCAGGAGCTAGGTACCTCAGTACATACTCTTCTCCCGTGGCCAGCAATGGGGTGTCTCTTTCTGAACTCTGTTCTCTGCATAGCTGGCTAAAAACAAACAATCCTCCCAGGGGTGAAAGTAACTTAAAGGACTTACCGGTACTCCGGAGTCCTGAGCAGGGGTGTGTGGCCTCAACCGGAAGAGGCATGACCTCAACTGGAAGAGGCGGGGCTGGGCCCTTTAAATCAAGATTTTAAAGGTTCCAGGGCTCTGGCTGCAGATGGGAGCCCCGGGGCCTCTAAATCTCCCCCAGAGCTACCAGATGCAGAGGCGGCCGGGAGCCCCGGGGCTCAGGGGCGATTTAAAAGGACCCAGGCTCTGGCCGCCACTACCCCAGCGGAGCTCCTGGCCCTTTAAATCACCGCCGGAGCCCTGCCGCCACTACCCTGGGGCTTTGGCAGCAGGGCTCGGGGCGCACTTTAAAGGGACCGGAGCCCTGCCACCGCTACCCCAGGAGCTCTGGCAGTGGGGCTCCGGTGGCGCTTTAAAGGGCCAGGGGTTCCAGGTGCTGCGGGGAGCCCCGGGCCCTTTAAAGCACCCCCTGAGCCCCACTGCTGGAGCCCCTGGGGTAGCGGTGGCAGGACTCTGGCGGCACTTTAAAGAGCCCGGGGCTTCGGCTGCTGCGGGGAGCCCCGGGCCCTTTAAAGCACCAGCCTGGGGAAGCTGGTCCAGCACGGCGTACTGGCTCTTGCCAGTACGCTGTACCGGACCGAACCAGCTTACTTCATCTCTGGATCCTCCCCAACCTGCAGTCAGATTAATTTGTATCTCACTAAGCAGAGTAGGGTCCCACTCATGACTGTGGGCTCAGGATGTAACCATAATACAAAGAATCGTTTGTGAAAAGTTTTACAAGTCAGAGTACTCAGATGAGTTTGCCTTGTCCTGGGGCATCCTATGTCGTCTTCACAAGGATTAGGACAAAAAGCAGGGATCTGAGAAAATGTTCGCAAATCCTCACAGTTCCATGAATGCCAGCACTTTGTGGTGCATTATCTCACAGCCTGTGTTCATTACTGGTTAGCCTCTGGGGCTTAGAGTTTCCCTCTCGGTGGGGATCAGAAACAATTGTGTGTGACCTAAGTGACCAGGCACATGCTACAGCTAATGCGTCACTAAAGTGAACAGTTCGTGAACACCCCACAGGCTGAATTTCATTCATCCAATTATTAGGTGAAAATTATAATTCATGATATTTGCAGGAGTTGGGATCAGTTGATGAATGATTCATGAATAGAAAAGAGTAAAATTGGTGCATTGTTTGTAATGGATAACTCAACCAACTTTACTCCCCCAGGGCAAGGTCCTCATATTGTCCTGGTGTGATATTTACATGAGGATATGTTGTGATGTATTAAAGCTGTAATGCAAACACCATCCTCTTGCTATATGAGCATCACCACAAGGCAGCTTCATTGCACCAAGACCCCACACTCCAGCAAAGGGCTCCCACCCAGGAAACTTTGACAGGCCAGATTTTCGAACATGCACTTGCGTGCAATTGCACACTCTACACATACAAATCTGAGTTGATTTTGTACAGAAATGCCCACTTGAATGTGCAGACACAGGGTTGGTGCATGCAAAACTAACAGTACAGGTTATAACTTGGAGCAAATGCAACCCCCTCTTCTGTGATTGTGGGGAAGGGGTGTGGTTCTGCTACTCAGCAAGGAGCACAGAGCCCTGCTCCATGTACGTTCCCTATACAGGAGAAAGGAGAGGGTATGGCATGGGCTGGCAGAGGCAGTTAGCTGAGTATCCATGGATACACAGATCTTCCATCCAGGCTAATAGGGGAGCTGGTGAGGGGTGGGGCTGGCTGTGCTCAGGAAGATGAGAATGCTGGGCAGAAGACTTGGCCCACCATGCAACTCTTAATTCTTTGTTTAAAAGCATGGCCTTTAATATAGTGCAAGCCAAGGCTCTATTCCTGCAAGGCATTGAGTACCCTCACTTCCCATTGACAGCAATGTGAGCTGATGTTCAGTACTGTGCAGAATCCGGTCACAAGCCTGTAGGACATAGCACAACTCCACAGGGAAAAGTCAGGATGAATCCTGCACCCTGAACACAATAGGACAAGCTAAGACCCGTGTCACCCATAGTTCTGAGTCCTCTGTGCTCAGTTGCTTTATGTACTTTCTGTGTTCGCTTCTCAGTACGCTGTGTCAATAATAACAGAGAGAGGCAGGAGGAATTCCATCATAGCTTCTTTTTACACATCAGATTTTTTTTGGTTATAATTCCGTTCCCCGAGGGAAGCTCACATCAGATGCAGCTTCTGCATTTCAGCAAAGCTCCTGCTTTTTTTTAGCTCAACTTTCCAGCTGGGTTGATAAGGAAATCACTGGACTTTGCCCAAAGTCATACAACAAGTCAGTGGCAACAAGAACTCAGGAGCCTTCTGCTTCTTCCTAGTCCCTTTTCTGTCAGCATTAGCCCAGACTGCCTCCTGTTTTATCTCTGTTACCTGTAATCACAGCACACTGTCTCCCAGTGCAGGTGGGTGCGGTTGTTTGACAGTGTATTAGAGCACAGGTGTGTCACGGCAAGCTAGGAACTTTTCTCCTCTGTGTTTGTACAGGATTGAGGTGACTCCTTACCAGCAATGTAGAGCCATATCGCCGCCTTAGAGGTACATGGTAAAAATCATCCACTGGAAGAACAAACAAAATGCATTTAGATAGTTAGAGTAAATCTAAGAAGCAGATGCATAATAACTTAGCACTTAAATACTGGAACATAGCAATTCTCTCATGCTGTGGTCCATGGGGAGGACGGTGGTGACATAATGCTGGTGGATTTTCCTTGTTTCTGGCTGCTAAATTGCACTAAATATTTTCCTAATGTTACTCTTCTACATCAGTAGAAGGATGCCAAGGATGGTGGGTGACGGCAAGTGGAAGAGGAGGTGGTCTGCATGGTGATTAATTAGAGCATAGATAGCTCTAACCTGATAATCCTCTGGACCATGCAACGATGGAAGCTGTGAACCCCTGCTGAAGCACTCTTATTAGTCATTTGTACTGTGCAGGGAAGATGTAATTAACTAAGAGCCATACTACTGAGCTACCCAAATTGGGGCCAGGTGGTTTTTAGGGGACAGTCCAAATAAGATTGGGGCAACTTCATAAAAGAAAAATATTACAGCATTCTACAGTAATAGTTCCAAAGGCTCTGGAAAGATGCAGTGTTCTGGATTATTATGGTAGCATATGGCAGTATTTTTAAGATGAGATAAGTTTGGTACAGCCCACTTTAAAGCACAGCCAGAGGGGTAGCTCGCTAAAGACAGAAAGCAAAGGTGCCCATTTGTCTTCCATTTCTTTCGTTAAACCCAGTTACAGTCACACTCCTACGATGACAGATAAATACCTGAGGGTGTGCCTTGACTGCACTGGAAACTCCACTGAAGTTACGTCCATGAAAGACTGGTGTCAGTGAGAGGAGAAAACACTATATACATATATCTGCTGAGGATCTGGCCCTAAGTCTGCCTAGCTCAATGTAAATTAATGGAGCTATGTTCTTTGTACTACAGGAAGATCAGGGGTGTCAGAAAGGTGGGAGTAGCCACTTACCCTAGATTAAAGCACACAGGAGTCTGTTAGCATCGTGGTCACACTTCTGACTGTAGCATATAGACCTAGCTAGCTCAGGTACCAATTGCTCAGGTACCAAAGCTATGGCCACACGGACTTCAGCAGGGGCTGTATTAGCCTGCCCAGTGCCCCAAGAACGTACTTCTAGCCCATGCTGCTGTGGCTTCACTATTATTGGTACCCAAGCTAGCTGGATCAAAGCTAGCTCATGTATGTCTGCATGCTGCAGCCACACCTATGACTTCAGTGTAAGAGTAAGAGACCTCCTTAGAGTGAAATCCTGGCCCCATTGAAGTCAATGGGAGTTTTGCCATAAAGCCCTGGTCTACACTAGGACTTTAGGTCGAATTTAGCAGCGTTAAATCGATGTAAACCTGCACCCGTCCACACAATGAAGCCCTTTATTTCGACTTAAAGGGCTCTTAAAATCGATTTCCTTACTCCACCCCTGACAAGTGGATTAGCGCTTAAATCGACGTTGCCGGCTCGAATTTGGGGTACTGTGGACACAATTCGATGGTATTGGCCTCCGGGAGCTATCCCAGAGTGCTCCATTATGACCGCTCTGGACAGCACTCTCAACTCAGATGCACTGGCCAGGTAGACAGGAAAAGAACCGCGAACTTTTGAATCTCATTTCCTGTTTGGCCAGCGTGGCAAGCTGCAGGTGACCATGCAGAGCTCATCAGCACAGGTGACCATGATGGAGTCCCAGAATCGCAAAAGAGCTCCAGCATGGACCGAACGGGAGGTACGGGATCTGATCGCTGTTTGGGGAGAGGAATCCGTGCTATCAGAACTCCGTTCCAGTTTTCGAAATGCCAAAACCTTTGTCAAAATCTCCCAGGGCATGAAGGACAGAGGCCATAACAGGGACCCGAAGCAGTGCCGCGTGAAACTGAAGGAGCTGAGGCAAGCCTACCAGAAAACCAGAGAGGCGAACAGCCGCTCTGGGTCAGAGCCCCAAACATGCCGCTTCTATGATGAGCTGCATGCCATTTTAGGGGGTTCAGCCACCACTACCCCAGCCGTGTTGTTTGACTCCTTCAATGGAGATGGAGGCAATACGGAAGCAGGTTTTGGGGACGAAGAAGATGATGATGAGGAGGAGGTTGTAGATAGCTCGCAGCAAGCAAGCGGAGAAACCGGTTTTCCCGACAGCCAGGAACTGTTTCTCACCCTAGACCTGGAGCCAGTACCCCCCGAACCCACCCAAGGCTGCCTCCTGGACCCAGCAGGTGGAGAAGGGACCTCTGGTGAGTGTACCTTTTAAAATACTATACATGGTTTAAAAGCAAGCATGTGAAAGGATTACTTTGCCCTGGCATTTGCAGTTCTCCTAGATGTAGTCCTAAAGCCTTTGCAAAAGGTTTCTGGGGAGGGCAGCCTTATTGCGTCCTTCATGGTAGGACACTTTACCACTCCAGGCCAGTAACACGTACTCGGGAATCATTGTACAACAAAGCATTGCAGTGTATGTTTGCTGGCATTCAAACAACATCCGTTCTTTATCTCTCTGTGTTATCCTCAGGAGAGTGAGATATCATTCATGGTCACCTGGTTGAAATAGAGTGCTTTTCTTCAGGGGACACTCAGAGGACCCCATTCCTGCTGGGCTGTTTGCCTGTGGCTAAACAGAAATGTTCCCCGCTGTTAGCCACAGGGAGGGGGGAAGGTTGAGGGGGTAGTCACGCGGTGGGAGGAGGCAAAATGCGACCTTGTAACGAAAGCACATGTGCTATGTATGTAATGTTAACAGCAAGGTTTACCCTGAAAGAGTGTAGCCACTGTTTTATAAAATGTGTCTTTTTAAATACCGCTGTCCCTTTTTTTTTCTCCACCAGCTGCATGTGTTTCAATGATCACAGGATCTTCTCCTTCCCAGAGGCTAGTGAAGCTTAGAAAGAAAAAAAAAACGCAGTCGCGATGAAATGTTCTCCGAGCTCATGCTGTCCTCCCACACTGACAGAGCACAGACGAATGCGTGGAGGCAAATGATGTCAGAGTGCAGGAAAGCACAAAATGACCGGGAGGAGAGGTGGGGGCTGAAGAGAGTAAGTGGTGGGTGAAGACAGGGCTGAAGCTCAAATGTGCGGCAGCATGATGAGAGGAGGCAGGATTCAATGCTGAGGTGCTGCAGGACCAAACCAGTATGCTCCAGTGTATGGTTGAGCTGCAGCAAAGGCAGCTGGAGCACAGACTGCCACTGCAGCCCCTCTGTAACCAACCGCCCTCCTCCCCAAGTTCCATAGCCTCCACACCCAGACGCCCAAAACGCGGTGGGGGCCTCCCAACCAGCCACTCCACCACAGAGGATTGCCCAAAAAAGAGGCTGTCATTCAATAAATTTTAAAGTTGTAAACTTTTAAAGTGCTGTGCTTAAAGTGCTGTGTGGCATTTTCCTTCCCTCCTCCACCACCCCTCCTGCTACCTTGGTAGTCATCCCTCTATTTGTGTGATGAATGAATAAAGAATGCATGAATGTGAAGCAACAATGACTTTATTGCCTCTGCAAGCGGTGATTGAAGGGAGGAGGGGCGGGTGGTTAGCTTACAGGGAAGTAGAGTGAACCAAGGGGCGGGGGGTTTCATCAAGGAGAAACAAACAGAACTTTCACACCGTAGCCTGGCCAGTCATGAAACTGGTTTTCAAAGCTTCTCTGATGCGTACCGCGCCCTCCTGTGCTCTTCTAACCGCCCTGGTGTCTGGCTGCGCGTAACCAGCAGCCAGGCGATTTGCCTCAACCTCCCACCCCGCCATAAACGTCTCCCCCTTACTCTCACAGATATTGTGGAGCACACAGCAAGCAGTAATAACAGTGGGAATATTGGTTTCGCTGAGGTCTAAGCGAGTCAGTAAACTGCACCAGCGTGCCTTTAAACGTCCAAATGCACATTCTACCACCATTCTGCACTTGCTCAGCCTGTAGTTGAACAGCTCCTGACTACTGTCCAGGCTGCCTGTGTACGGCTTCATGAGCCATGGCATTAAGGGGTAGGCTGGGTCCCCAAGGATACATATAGGCATTTCAACATCCCCAACAGTTATTTTCTGGTCTGGGAATAAAGTCCCTTCCTGCAGCTTTTGAAACAGACCAGAGTTCCTGAAGATGCGAGCATCATGCACCTTTCCCGGCCATCCCACGTTGATGTTGGTGAAACGTCCCTTGTGATCCACCAGAGCTTGCAGCACTATCGAAAAGTACCCCTTGCGGTTTATGTACTCGGCGGCTTGGTGCTCCGGTGCCAAGATAGGGATATGGGTTCCGTCTATAGCCCCACCACAGTTAGGGAATCCCATTGCAGCAAAGCCATCCACTATGACCTGCACATTTCCCAGGGTCACTACCCTTGATATCAGCAGATCTTTGATTGCGTGGGCTACTTGCATCACAGCAGCCCCCACAGTAGATTTGCCCACTCCAAATTGATTCCCAACTGACCGGTAGCTGTCTGGCGTTGCAAGCTTCCACAGGGCTATCGCCACTCGCTTCTCAACTGTGAGGGCTGCTCTCATCTTGGTATTCATGCGCCTCAGGGCAGGGGAAAGCAAGTCACAAAGTTCCATGAAAGTGCCCTTACGCATGCGAAAGTTTCGCAGCCACTGGGAATCGTCCCAGACCTGCAACACTATGCGGTCCCACCAGTCTGTGCTTGTTTCCCGAGCCCAGAATCGGCGTTCCACAGCATGAACCTGCCCCATTAGCACCATGATGCATGCATTGTCAGGGCCCATGCTTTCAGAGAAATCTGTGTCCATGTCCTGATCACTCACGTGACCGCGCTGACGTCGCCTCCTCGCCCGGTATCGCTTTGCCAGGTTCTGGTGCTGCATATACTGCTGGATAATGCGTGTGGTGTTTAATGTGCTCCTAATTGCCAAAGTGAGCTGAGTGGCCTCCATGATTGCCTTGGTATGGCGTCCGCACAGAAAAAAGGCGCGGAACGATTGTCTGCCGTTGCTCTGACGGAGGGAGGGGCGACTGACGACACGGCTTACAGGGTTGGCTTACAGGGAGCTAAAATCAACAAAGGGGGTGTCTGTACATCAAGGAGTATTTCAGGCAGGACTTCACGGAGGGTTCCAATAAGAAATGGTGCACCTAAGTTATCGTTCTTATTGGAACAAGGAGGTTAGCCTGGCCTCTGATTAATACATGGCTAGACTTACCTCGCTGCACCTTCTCTGTGAGTGACTGCAGTGTGACCTAGAGGAATGAGTCCCCTAGACAGGGGAGGAGGCAAATGAGTACAAAACAAATCTGGTCTATTTCTTGTTTTGACCCACTCCATCTATCTTTTACATCTTTGGCTGGCAGCAGACGGTGCAGAAGGACTGCATGCCATCCACATCTCATGGCTGCTCGGCAGAAGATGGTACAGTACGACTGCTAGCCATCCTCATCTCTTGCCTGCCTGGCAGAAGATGGTACAATACGACTGCTAGCAGTCCGTATCGCCTGCCCGCTCACCATAAGACGGTTCAATAGGACTGACTGCAGGACTAAAGAGAATGACCTGGTCAAGTCACTCCAAATTTAGTCCCTGCGCCCATGTCTGCCCAGGTGCTCCCAGCCGACGTGGCCAGGAGCACCTCGGACACGACGAGGACGACTACCAGTCGTATTGCACCGTCTGCTGCCAGAAGGCAATGGGTTGCTGCTACTGTGCAGCAAAGCCGTACCGCGTTTGCCAGCATCCAGGAGACATAGGGTGACGGTTACCTGAGAGGGCTCCATGCTTGCCGTGGTATGGCATCTGCACAGGTAACTCAGGAAAAAAGGCGCGAAATGATTGTCTGCCCTTGCTTTCACGGAGGGAGGGAGGGAACGGGGGCCTGACGATATGTACCCAGAACCACCTGCGACAATGTTTTAGCCCCATCAGGCATTGGGATCTCAACCCAGAATTCCAATGGGCAGCGGAGACTGCGGGAACTGTGGGATAGCTACCCACAGAGCAACGCTCCGGAAGTCGACTCTAGCCTCGGTACTGTGGAAGCGCTCCGCCGAGTTAATGCACTTAATGCACTTAGAGCATCTTCTGTGGGGACACACACACTTGAATATATAAAACCGATTTCTAAAAAACCGACTTCTATAAATTCGACCTTATTCCGTAGTGTAGACATACCCTGACTTTCAGTGGGGCGAGGATTTCACCCTTAATGCACAATTACATAAGAAGATCTTACCACACCCCTCGTGCCAGCTTTTTCAAAAGTGATTCAGAGAAGGCGGCACTAGTAATGATTCCACTTTGGATCTGAGGAGGAGAACAAGAATCTATGAAGGCAGCAAAGGGCACAAATGCAATGAGGGCTCCTCACCTCTGCTGCAGTAAAGCAAATCTTTCCATCCTTTGATAAATTACGAAATACACCTGGGGAGAACAAAGACAGCTTGACTTTAATAGGAGGAGGTGGGAGGAACTTGTAACAGATCAAAGTTGTTTCCATTCTGGAACAGCCCAGTGTCATCTAGTCCAGTATTCTGTTTCCCTCCCTGGCTGATGCCTGAAGATTCACAGGGAGACCAGATGTCTCAGGTTTATAGGGACAGTCCCAAAATTCAGGGCTTTGTCTTATATAGGTGCCTATCACCCCCTACCCCCTGTGCTGATTTTTCACACTTGCTGTTTGGTCATGACACATACATAATACAGCTCACAATGGGGTGGGCGGGAATTCAGCCCCCCCCCCCCATCCACTGGCATCTGGTGATCACGGTTTTCTCTGAAGCAACTCACAGGTGATCATTAAGTCTTGCAGGCTTATCAACTAGTAACGGCAGGTGCTGTCTCGATTCACATAGTTGTCAAAACTAAAGGTGGTCAAAAGTTTTCCAACCAAAGGTTCGGCTGTAGGAAAATGTTGATTCATCAAAATCTAATGGTTCCCATGGGAACATGGTGGTTTTGGGTGAAATTTCGTTTAGAAAAAGATCAAAGGGCAGCATTTCCATAAGGCTGAAATGTAACATTGCTTTTTTTTTTTCATTTCAAAACTTTATTTTGTATTAAAATAAAGTTGAAGTGGAACATTTCAATTGACATGACCCTTTTTTTTAAAATTTTTTTAAAATTTGCCACTTTGTTCAGATTCAAAATGAAAACAAACCTAAAAATCTTGGTATTTCCTATGATATGCCTAATTCCTGCCCAACTCTAATCAAAACATCTTTTGACACCCCCCGCCCCCGAAAAAAAAAAAGCTCAAGACTGGTTGGAAGATCCAAAATCATAGAAATGTAGGGCTAGAAAGGACTACAAAAGGCCATCTAGTCCAGTGGCTCTCAACCTCTTTGGGCCCAGGATCCATCTGTAAACTTTGATGGCCTATTGTGACTCAGTAAATAGATTTAGTATCAAAAGAATATGGCTCACTAAATATTTCTTGCCCACAATATATAATATACATGAATGTAAAAAGTACTAAATAAGTACACTGCGTATACCAGCATGTGGGCTCCTGCCGGGGGGTGGGGGGGCTGGCTGGGGTTGGTTCCTCCAAGGTTGTAGCGCTGATCACTCGAATTTTGGCCAGCCAGCCCCCTGTCATCATGACAGAGAGGCAGCTGGGCCAAACCTGAGCAGTGCTGTGACTCGGTGCATCAGGTCCCAGGTTAAGGGTACAACCATACTGTAACCTGGTTTCCTAACATGATGTATCAATGTAGATCAGGCTTAGGTGTCTTCCTAGGAACAATGTGCAGCACTAATGTTTCCTACTGTAGGAAATGAGTCACTGGTGCCTTCTCTATCTCCATTTAAGTATGGCTTGAAAGTAGAAGTTGCTTTTGGTTTAGGTCGCATCACTCTGGTTATCTTAAGAATATGAGTAACAATTTAATGGGGACAAATTTTATCTTCCCTTCTGTATTCACATCATGAAGGTGGACTGCCTCTTATTCCCATTTGGCTCAGTTATCCTCACCTGAAAAAACCCTCTTCACAGATTTGAAATGTTTGAAAAAAATGTATTATATTAAACTTTGAGGAAAACGATAATTCAAAGACCCTAGGGCATTTTTAGGTGCTTGTTATAGACATCAGTGGAACTTTCAGCAATTCCTTTCAAAATGGATTTAAGGGTCTTTCTACCAGCACTTACTGTGCAAAGGGGCTTTTATAAAACCATTTATTTGTTAAAAAAGATGCAAAAATGGACACATTTGTAGCCGGAAGAAATTCCACCCACAGTGAAGGACGTTAATCATCTTGGAAATGTTGAGCTTCTAATGTTGTTGTTCTATTGTATACATTTTTTTCATTGAGTTAAAATTGGAGATTCTCAAACTCTGAGCTGACTCTGCTTCCCAACCTTGAAATGATGCCTGAAAGCACCATAAGGTGTCATTGGGTTTCCAATCACTGGTCCATGTCACCAGGACCCCAATCCTCAAAGGTATATAGATGGCTAAGGCCCATTGAACTCAATAGGTATGAGGTGCCTAAATACCATTGCGGATTTGGACCCAGGATACCAGCTGTCCTGGGAGTCAGTGAGGACTGCTCATATTCTCCAGTAGAACAGGTCTCTAGTAGCTGCAGTTGAGGCTTGTCACTGGTACTCAAGGCTCCTCCTAACCTTAATGACAAGCCTCTTTTGCTGGTCATGAGTGCCCCATCCCTTCCCATCTCTGATACTGTTGTATGTGCTCCTCTACTCAACAGAGCTTGCATGTCTCCAAATCGCTCCAACCCAAGTTCTGTTGCAGGCTAGAATGCACAATGCTGATTAAAGGTGGCAGATGCTGCCTAGGACAGTCAACGTTTTACGGCCCAATTTATTTCATGGCTTCCCCCAGTACAAGGCCCACAGCCCAGGCCACATGCCTCCAGCAATGGAAAGTCCAGTGGGGTGGAAGAAGGGGACAACAGTGTGTGTTGCACACCACCTCCACTCCACTAAGGGCCCAGAGTCCACTAGGGCAGCACGCACAGGGGTTGGGGCCAGATCAGCCAAGAAATACACTAAATCAGCACATCTCTTGGGCTGATGGGGCTCTGATGTAGCCATGCTTGGAAAAACTGTTCTCTTCTAGCAGTGTCTCCATAGGACATCATCCACAGCGATCCTGCCAGTTGTTCTCTCCCGGCATTGAATCTCCCATGAAAGAATAGCTGCCCCCCTGGGTGAATCTGGCCCTGTGTCTGGTAAATTAGTGTCAAGTCCCCAAAGGCAGAGGGACACTGACCTAGCCCAGTTCCTGCATTGTAGCAGGTTCATTCTTTCTAAACTATTCCCTATAGATAGGCATCTTTCCCTGGTTCTCAGCAAGGACAATGAATTCCCTATGCTGGCAGGCAGCCAGTGCCATTAGGCTGTATTGCCTTACCCTGTAGTGCTAAGGATATTGTGATATGTGGTTGATGCAGTGTAAGCCCATATTTTCCATGTTCCGAGACCCTCACAGGACTCTAGCTAGCCAGGAGCATGACTTACTTGCCATGGTTTTGAGACGGATCATGCAGCACACAAAATCGGGGAAACAGATTCTCATGGAGGAATCGCTGTACCTCAGAGCCATCAGATGGAGGAGCTGGTCATCGACAGCCAGGCCTATGAGCAAGAGGCAGAAAGGGCAGCGAACATGATAGCAACAGGAAGAAGCAAGGTCCAGCCATCCTCTGAAATGGCAGGGAACGGAGGCTGCTATGTATGTCCAGTTTGTACACCTACCAGGTGACCCATCCCTGCTTAATGCCTCCTTGAGGGCCCTCACAAATAAAGTCCAGTCAAAATTCCTTCCCAGCCTCAAGTCTGGAGATCACTTGCACTTCGTACGTGTGAGCAAGAATCACAGTAGTAAAGCAACTAATCCCATTCCCCTTTGTTAATCCATCGCAGGCCGTGGACATGTAAAGAGAGTGCTGACTATAGCCTTAAACGCTTAGAACCTGGCTACACTCAGGATCTCCCTGAGTCCAGACTTGTTGAAATCTGCCCTCAAGACTTCCAGGCACTGTCTAAGGATCCCACCATCCCATCTTAAACTTGTAAGTGGTCAGGAGTTTGGTGTGGGCAGTTCTGGGGTATGGCATGTACTTGCCCCTGAAATCCATCTCTGTCAACATCTCCCCATTCTTCAAAAATACCCCTACCCTTTTAATTGCAAAGGCATGCATGAGTGTATTCACTTGTTGGCCCTAGAAGGGTTGACCTACCCCCTGCCCTTTCTTTGCCCTTGTGCTCAGATCCCTTTGGCTGGGTTTGTTAAAGCTTTAAGAGGGTGGCTTTTCATTTTAAGTGGTTGGAAATTATTCCGTTATATCACTGAGCATCCCAAGCACATCATCAGGTTGATGCTTATGAACAGATGGGGCCAGTTCCTCATCTGGTGTAGAACAGCACCGAAGCCAATGGAGCTGTGCAGATTTACACCAGTTGAGGATCTGGCTTATTATCCTTCTTAACTGAGGCCTTAATGTTTAGGATAAGCTCCTGCTTTGCTGACTACTGATGGACTCCAGCAAAATGTTTCAACACATGCTTAATTGGGGCCTATATTTAGCAGCATTCTTGGGGTTAATTAGGCACTGATATGCTAATACTGGGTCTGATTATTCTCCTCCTACTCCTTCCCATCCCCTGCTAAGAAAAACCCATGCATGAGACGAGGGAGGCAGGCTCTTGGGGAGAAGAATCTGGCCTGTGCAGTATGGTGTGGGAGGAAGCAAGGTGCTGGGGAACCAGAGTGTGTCTCCCCTTCAAAAACTGCTTAGAGGGCACAATGTGCTGAATTTGCCATTTTTTAAATATTCCTTGTTTATCCCTTCAGTATCTGCATGTGTGCAACCTTACTCCATATTTTATACTGTAGTGCCTTTATTACAACAGTGATACATTTCAGATCCCTGAACTCAGAGCTTCTTGCTACACCCTGATGACACATCAGGAATTTCAGTCTCTAGAGACCATGTTATATCTTCCGCCTGAAAAAAAATCCACCAACTTTGTGGCTTTCGTTGATTACGTTTTGACTAGAGATCCCCATAGGGGAAAAATTTATATTCTATTGGCTAATGCAACTTAAATGGCCATTTAGCTAAATGGAAGAATCTCTAATGCAGATTTGTTGGACAGGAGCTTCCTCTGGGATATCGTATCGCATATACAAAATGTAACCAGATAGAACTAGACAAATTCAATCATGCAACAGAAACCGGCTTGCTTGCTTAAAATTGCAGCACTAGTCTAGCCACCAGAGGTCAGTGCAAACTAAATAAAAGGTCTTTCAATGCAGCTTTCTCCTATATAATCAGTCAGAGCCCTGGAGAGAGACTGAACGAACTAGCAGGACAGTGGCTGTTCAAACTGCCTTGCTCCTTTCCCCGATCAAGAGAGAGCACCTCCAGGGGTGAGATGGAAATTCATGCTTTCTTTGGCCTCTTTGCTGAGCCTTATTGGCCTTTCTGCCACTTGGCAAATATTCATCATCAGCACCATCTCAATAATGCTCCAATTTATTCCTGTGCTGCAGGACCACTCAGCAGGGGAAATGGCTTCTTTCTGAAACATTCTCTTTGGATTGGTTACACGGGGAATGGACAGTGATAGTTCTGTCTTTGTGAGATGCATTACTCGCAGATTATGCCAGGAGCAGGATCTCACTAGATCTTCCATACAATCCCTCCACCCTCATCTTTCCACCCCTCTCTTCACAGCACAGCTGACCATACCTGCTCTCTGTACTGCATTCCTCAAATCTGAGACGTCCAGGAATCCAGAACCGGTTCCCTCTTCCCTCCTGAAAATATCCTGGAAACCGTTTTGACAGAATTCAGCTTCTTTCTTTTGAGCCAACGTCAGTGGCCCAAGCTTGTGCTATGACCTAGCACACTGGCCACTTGCCAATGCATTTCACTTTCTCCTTAATGAATTAGCTTAGTGGAAACTCAGTGCAACATCTGCAGGGTAAACACGTCTGAATGTTTATATATGTGTGGCCTTTCATGTACTTCCCCTGCACTGTTTTACTAGTTCAAACCAAAGCTTGCATCTCCATGACTCTGTCAACAACACAAAGAGCCCATCAATAATGACTCATCTAAAAGAATAGTTGCAGACCTCATTTCTATGGCACTAGGTGGGGTGACATCCTTCTGTACACTCCATATTCTAAATACAATAGGTTATGTACTCAGCTCCATCAGCTTGAATAGGGCTACGCCCACTTATACAACAGATGAGGATCTGGCCTAGTATGTTTAGCTTGGCCAAAAGCCATCTTGTGAGATACTAACCGTCACCAAACGTTGGTAGGATGTAAAAACCAAGCATGGAGAACAGTTGTTCAGGATAGCCCAAACAAATTTAATAGGGTGTAATAGGTGAAATTTAAACCAAGGAACATTGACTGTACCAGAATGTCTTTCCTAATTCTGCGGTGCCTTACTCTGTCCTAGAGTCTCTTAAAGAAGGTGAGGCCTGGGGGGGGGGGGGGGGGGGTGGAAAGGAGCCCTGTTACAGTATTGGCATTGTTTAGAGAAGATAGTGGAAAACCAAAGTCTGTATTGGCCAGGGAGCATGGACTTTCCATTGTTTGCATTATCCTGTGCAATTTGACTGGCCGCCATGAAATATGGCAATAGCCTTTTACAGAAACATATGATGGATAATAGGTAATCCAGTCTAAGTGCTTGTACTCTTCAGGGATACTCACCATCTTGCCACTGCATATGAACCACCACAGTCCCACTGACCTGTAGAATTACTCCTGTGTATGTAAGTGCAGGACTGGGAACCCAACACCTTCTCTAACCTATTCCTCAGGATCTGCCATACAGGCAGAGCACTTAGTCCTTGGCAGACCTGTTCTTACCCTTCAGAATGTTTGACGGAGGCCCTCTCAATCCAATATTTGAGCTCCCTACTTTTGAATTATAAGGCAGATGCTTTATCTATTAAGCTTCAGAGCCTTTGTTGCGGTCTTTCCCCCACACTATTTTAATTTCATAGTGTCTGCATCCCCTTGATTAAAAATGCAGCACTAGGTGAGTAAACGGGTTACTGACAGCTCACATGTACCTTGTACTTAGCAAGGTATTTCCAGAGGTGCTTAAATTCTTGCAGGGAGAGTCTTCCATTAGATTTGAGCTGCATCTGTGGTTAAGGCTTAAATGTTTAATGGCAGCTAATCTTGGGTTTCCTAGGAACAGGATACAGGAAGCCCCCCCGCCCCATGTGAAAAGAGCCCTGCTAAAGGAATCCTGCTGCCACGAAGGTTGGAATGTCAGGCTTTAAGCTGGGGAAGGCTAAGGTATTCCTTGCTCTGAGCAGCAGTGTGAGAAGCTATAGAAGGCACAAAATAAACGTGACAAATTGTAAATGTAGCTGAGGGCCATTAAGCAGCAAAGTTATATAGTGCCTTTCACAGCAACGGATCATGAGGCTATAAATCCAATGTATGCATGGCCCCATGGAAATGCAGCCACCTTTGGGGAGGAGTAAAAGGTGCTGTGGTCTAAATCCCCAACCTCCTCACTGGTGGTTGGGGCCCACTGGGCATTACCTGTAGCTAGATTCTGGGTATGTCGACACTGCTACTGAACTTGATTGTTGCACAGATAACTGCAAATGTAGGTACTTAGGTTGCTAGCCCATGCTGCCACAGCTGCACTGTTAGCATAGGTAACAATAGCTAGATTAAAGCTAAGCCAGGTACGCCTCCCTTTGTCTTCTCTGAACATACTGGAGTGGGGAGCAGCCGTGCAGTCATTCGCAGGCTTGAGCTGGGAGGGGAGGATAGAGCCTCCTCAGCATAAGGTGTAGACTAGTCATAGCCCCATTCATGGTATTAGCCCCCAAGAGCCACACGGATCTATATTGCACCTGCTCCTACACTGGCACAAGGCATTTACATGCAAGGCTGACAGCGCCCCCCCCACCCCCCCTGGTCGGCGGCAGGCAGGCAGGCTAAAACCTGGGGCTGCTGGAGCTTAGTGCATGAGCCTCTACCACATGAGCTAAAAGCCAACTGGCTCTTAGCAAAGGCTGTAGAGCAGACTCATCAATCAACCTCCCTCTCTCTGTGCCACTAGATGGGACAGAACACCACACCCACAAGGTGTGTGGGTTCCACACACTCCGCAGTTCCATGAAGGAGGTGCACTATCTGACCCTGCGAGTCCTCCTACACTGCTCTGTTCCCTGCAGCGAGACTGCCTCTGGCCCCTGCCTCTCTCAGGGCTGCCGAAGCCGTGAGAACGCAAAGCCCCCTTAAAGAGTAAGTGGGTGGTGCTGCCCTCAAACTTGGCTGAAAGAGGCTGCTCCAGTCTTTAAGGGCCCGTACAGGTTACACTGTATAGGGAGTGGGTAGCAATGTAGTGAATGAAAAAAATCCATCTGGAATAAACATGGAATGGGGGGTGCGGGAGTAAGTGGGTGGGAAAAGTGGCTGTGTCAGCACCCTCCAAGCGTCCTGCATTCCGTGCCTGTTGAGGGTGCAGTAACAGGAATGCTGGAAAGAAAGCAACTGGCTGCAGGTCATTTTTATTCATTTGCTGCAATCTGTAATGGTCTGGCACTGTCTCGGAGTTATTTGAGGGCCCGGAACAAAAGGACAGCATGAGAGCGTACAGCGGGGAGAATTTATGTTTTCATCAAGGAGCTCTCTTGTTTTACAATGGCCAGCAATGCATTTCCACTGTTGTCTTGTTAACAGTTGGAAGACTATGCCATCCATCTAACTAGAAGAGGTATACCAAAGGATGAATAGTTTGCCAGGCGTTCGCCTGTGATTCAGCAATGACACATTGCTGCTGGCCACTGCAGCCCTGGCTGATGTCAGGGGAAAGACAATCATAACTTCATTGGTCTTGACATAAACTTAGAGCAGCAGGCTTGGCGTTCCAGTTCACAGGCAAGCCAAGCTTGGCAGCCTTAGAGGAAGGATGGGAAGAAGTAGTGTTAGGTTGAGCTATACAGTGGATCTTAGTGAATCCCAACCTAGTCCTTTAGAAGCTGTGACATGTCCAGGACTGGGGCCAAGGCTTGTTAACCATAGTGCCTGGAGAGTTTGGAAGATGAGGACTATGTAATTAATAGAATAGGTTTTAAAGTAACTAGGGAAGGGCCTACAGCACCCAGCGAGCTCCTGACAGCAGATCCCAAGCCCCAGCGAGAGGGTGCATAGTAAAGCCCTGCATACATTGCGGGAAAATTATTTGATGCTTGTGGCCAATATTTATTTGCAGGTTGTTCCAGGGGGAACAGCTGAGCCACAACTGAAGGAAAGGATGGGCTGCACTGAGGGGAAGTTTTTTGCCTTTGCTGAAAGGATACATCCATCAGAGCTAAAATGCCTCTGCATGACTCAAAGCAGAATCCTCCGCCCAGGCTGGCCATTTGATCTATAAGAATTGACAAAACAAAAGTGATCAGACAAAGAACAAAAGACACCCTGGGTTAAGTCTCTACCTCCAGAGAGTGGGGCTCCAACCTGGTCACTGTTAGGATGGGTAGGTCGATCTTAGTCTTGCCCCGAGTGGTTCATATCACTAAAGGACCCCCAGGACCGGGCACGGGATGCTGCCAGTCGGGCCTGAGGTGTGTTGGAGAAGCTGGGGGGGGGGGAGGGAGAAGGGGTGTGTGTGTGTGTGAGTGAGAGAGAGAGAGAGAGAGAGAGAGAGAGATATGTCTCAAATGAACCCCTTCTGAGGGATGTCATTCAGCAGTGACTGAAAGGTAACTAGGTCCCATAGAAATTTGGTGATCTCTCTCCTCTACTGTTGTTTTACCCCTCCTTTTTGGTCTCTGTCACATGCTGTATCCCATATCTGAGAGGTAGGGGGAGTGGTGCAGGCCAGGACTAGACTTCCACCAGGGAGTGTTGCAGGTGGGCATGGAGATGACATGGCAGAGCTGTGTGAGAGGTAAGGAGTGGGAACAGTGTGAGGACCTGTGACTGGATCCCATAAAAAAGCAGGTATGCTGCAGATCATGGAGGGGGCCTAAGCAGAGCTGTGTGGTGATCTAGTCCTGGATCGGCAAGGCACTCCGCAGGTCAGGAGGAAGGGCTATGTGGGGACCCAGGACTGGAAAAGGAGAGGTGCTGCTGGTCCCACTAGAGAGTGCGCAGAGGCACAGGGGCATGCCAAAGCTCAGTAGCTTAAGCTGCAGCAGCCGCTCTGAGCATGCAGACAGCAATGTGCTAGGAAAGGCTAAGTGCCGAGCTGGATTGGAGCTGTGCAAACATTATTTTTTTAATAAAAATTGAGCATAAAGGGAACCCCAGAGAGGTTTTTCAGTTCATCAGAGGCCTACCAATCCTACTGAGCATTTTCCTGGGACCATCAGGGTTACATCTATGGCTCCATCTAGATCACACTAGATCCAGGGTAGGAAAACACCATTAACTGGATCATAAAGAGCTTTACCTTCCAGGAACACTTCATTGAGGAGCCTTTGCAGCTGCGAGGCATTGATGTCTGAACCCTAATGCAGAACAAAGCACACGAGTTTATAAGCACCAGGCTTCCTTACCCGCCCGCACCCTTTCCTTATTCTTCACTTGCTTACACCATTGTGAATCAGGAGTAACTCCACTCATGGCAGTCGAGTCACACAGCTGCAAATCTGGTGTGAGCTCAGAATCAGATCCTTGACTCCTGCTCTACATTGATGCTGTAGCTCTCAGCTTGCCTGAGTCATGTAAAATTTTACTGCCCTGCCCCTAGCGCTCCCCAAGGCCCATCTAGGGCATTCTGTGTGACAGACTGTGTCATTTTTCACCTTTATGCATTGATATAACTATTAACTGTGAGAGGTCTATTGTGTAAAGGCTTTTGGCAGTGATTTTTCTCTTGACTAAGTCAAGGAGTTCTTTTATAACAGTTTATTAAACCATTAAGAGCATCTCCTGTGAACACACACAGCTTGGCTCAGAGAGAGCTGGAATCAATTACTCAAACGCTGACTGATATCTGCTTTCCAAATGCAGCAAGTGCAAGCTGGAAACCGTTCTGATCAGAGGGAAAAAATATCCAAGGATTATTTCTAATTGCTTGTTTAAATAAACCCCAAACAATCATCCCCTAATATGGTGAGCTGTCCATTCTATTCCAGCTCTCTCTCCTACTTTTCTGTGGAGTCTGGCAGCCAGATCAATGCTGTTTTAAAGGTATCCACTTAAGGAATGCTAAGCCCACATTTCCAAAAACATATTTCTACATGGAGTGATAGCAAGATGAGAGGTTTTTCTTTTTCAACTCCACCTGTCTTTTTATTTTTTTCTAATCGGCTGTATTCAGGGTACCTGTTTAGCATATCTGAGGAAGATGTTTTCAGAGGAGTTGTCTTGACTCTGGTTGGGTATGTCCTGGATCACAGCAAAACATGTACATATGCAAATTAGTGACAAAAGCCATGGGAGCCAGAACCAAAACCCTATTATCCACATAGCTCTGTAGCTGCGTGCAGCACTTTAGAATGGACAAGGTCTGTACAACAAAGCACACAGGGCTGCCTCAGAGACCCTGCAGTCTAAAGACAAGAAGAGAGACAATAGTGATCAGGCAGGAAGTGGTGTGTGGATGTTTTATAACTTTGTAGAATGAGGGATTTTTTTGGGGGGGGGGGGGGAATTCAGAAAGGATTTGAAGAAGAGGTGGTGAGCTTGGCCTCTCTTAAGCGGGAGGATGTTCTCAGCATAGGGAACCGCGTGAAACTAAAAAGTAAGTAAATGGAGGTGTCAGGAGGAGAGAATTTTAGGTGGCGTACAGGAAATGGGAGATAATCAGGGCCAGTTTGTCACCTGGTGCAAACTGATGTCACTATACTGAAGTCAATGGCTTGCCGCCATTTTAGACCATGTTAACAGCTGGCCCATAGGCAGGGATAGAGTTGTAGAGAGCTTTGGAAGTGGAAGAAAGGGGGAAGCCAGTGCAGAAATTCAAGAAGAGGAGTGGAGAAGTGATGGGAGCTGCTTGAGAGGAAGATTGCCTAGACAGCAGTGAATTAATACTTTAGGGCCTAATCCTAACACACATGTAGCCTCTGACTCCAATGGAATTACTAAGGACCACCCACCTGTGTGAAGTTTGCAGGATTGGGTACTGTACTTGCATATGGCAAAATACAGGTTGTTGGTTAGTGATATTATTTAAGGAAAGTGAAAGGTTGTTAGTGTAACTGGATAATAGCATAAACAATAGGTTTCTCTCTCCATAACAGGGCTTAATAGCTGACTGGAAAATTAATGACTAGAAAGGGCTTGAGTCTCTCACTTACACCATTAACTTCAAAGCAGTCACTCCTGGTTTACACTACTGTGAGAGAGCAGAATCAGGTGCAGCCCAAGCTCCAAAGTAGAAGAGGACTGTACTGTAGAATGCACCATAGTGCAGAGAGAGAGAATTCTGCAGCTGGAATGACAATTGTACTGTACTTGGGCTGTAATTATCTGGGCCTGATTCTGAGCTCCTGCTAGTTTAAGAAGTGTAATTCCATTGACTTCTATGGGGTTACACTGCTACAAACCAGATAATTCAGAATCAGGTCTAGACTCTTGCAAAGACCAATTGGATCACCCAGTCTGACAATCAGCTTTCCGCAGATCCCTGCCTTATATTAGATGGACAAATCCCTGTGTGGAAAGGGGAGAGAATGCCATGCTGGGGAATGTGATAGTGCTACTGTCTAGGGTGGAGTGAATGAGTGATTATTGAGTTTGGTGGCCCAACTAAAATGAATCAGACGAAAAATTGTTGTGGAAATATTTTGTTTTTTCTCACTGAAATGAAAACACAGAAATTTTGTTTCTTGTCGAATGACAGGTTACATTTACTTTTCATGTGATTTTTACAAAAATTAAATCTAGCTACATTTCAAAATGAATCATCAATTCAAAATGGAAAGCTGCACCGTTTCGACTTTTTCCATCTTCCCTCCCCTTTGTTGTTCAAAACTAGTTATTGAATTTGATTGGAATTCAGAAATAGTTTCAGGAGATCCTAAAATTTAACTCAGCTCTACTGCTGACAGCGATTTACTTGATGAAAATGCATCTGAAAAACACAAATTAAAGATTAAGGACCTGATTCTGAAACTGCCCCTCACATGGATAGATTACTTATTCTGTGAGTACTCCCTCTCATAGCTCAGTACAAAGGTGGCAGAGCTGTGCCCAGAGACATAAGAACAGCCATACTGGGTCAGACCAATGGTCCATCTAGCCCAATATCCTGTCTTCCGACAGCGGCCAATGCCAGGTGTCCCAGAGGGAATGAACAGAACAGGTAATAATCAGGTCGCCCATTCCCTGCTTCTGGCAAACAGAGGTTGGGAAATCATCCCTGTCCATCCTGGCTAATAGCCATTGATGGACCTATCCTCCATGAACTTATCTAGTTCCTTTTTGAACCCTGTTATAGTCTTGGCCTTCACAACATCCTATGGCAAGGAGTTCCACAGGTTGACTGTGCGTTGTGTGAAAAAAATACTTCCTTTTGTTTGTTTTAAGTCTGCTGCCTATTAATTTCATTTGGTGACCCCTAGTTCTTGTGTTATGAGGAGAAGTAAATAACACTTCCTTATTTACCTTCTCCACATCAGTCAATGATTTTATAGACCTCTATCATATCCCCCCATAGTTGTCTCTTTTCCAAGCTGAAAAGACCCAGTCTTATTAATCTCTCCTCATATGAAAGTCGTTCCATACCCCTAATAATTTTTGTTGCCCTTTACTGAACCTTTTGCAATTCCAATATATCTTTTTTGAGATGAGGTCACCACATCTGCATGCAGTATTCAAGATATGGGTGTACCATGGATTTATATAGAGGCCATATGATATTTTCTGATGTGAGGCAGGTGGCAGAAGAGAAGGCAACAGGCAGGGTGGGGTGGGCAGAGGAGAGTAGGGTTGCAGCAAAGAGACTGGTTAGTGGCTGGTGCCAGGACATCCATAATGTTGATTCACACACCTCCAGCATCTAAGTCATTTTTCACATGTTCCTACCTTTGGTATCACTGGGCTGAGCCTGCTTTTCAGGTCCCTAAAAAACACCACAAGAGTCACATCAGAAAAAGACAGCCTTCTAGCATTTATTTGCAGAGAGAGAGAGAGAGCTCTAAGAATGCTTGTGAATCCCAAACACCCTGTGATTGTGCTGACACTTTTCAGGTGTTTTGGTTCAGAATCACGCCTTCAAATTTTGTCTAATCATCCCTGCTGCATTAGTAAGCACAGTGGGCCTGATTCTCTGCTCACACTGGTTTCAAACTTTTTCAAAGTCCACTGACTTCTCTGCAATCACTCTTGATTTACACCACTGTAGGGGAGAGGAGAATCCAGGGCTGTGTGTGCAACTGCAGGACTAGTTTGGCAGCGCTTTCACCACCGGGAGGCATGAGGGGGTCCATCTCTTCAGTCAGCTCTTACATGAGCAAAAGCTCCTGGTTACCTTAACTCGAGCTCTAACATTATGAAATGTCTCTAATTTTCCTATAGCACATGAACACAAGATGAACATTAATTAAAGGCAAGAGGATACCTGAGGACATTTAAAGGCAAATTTAAACCAGAGCACACATTTATGGCCAACATAAAATTAACCTGTGGACCTCACTGCTACAGGATGTTACTGAGGCAAATACAGTTGCAACTCCTAACATTCCAGTTTTGCCTTAGATGAAGAAACAAGCTCACCTCAGGCTTTGCAGTATTCCCTATGAAACCATATGCTTGTTATAGGGCAGTAGTTCCCAGACTGGGGTTCCAGTTGCCCCTAGGATGAGCTACCTGGTCAAATGATGATAGCTGCTCCTCCACTTTTCCAGCTGCTACCCTTACTGTCCATGAGTACTAACTTACTACTCAGATAGAGGAAGAATGGCCCAGGGGTTAGGGTACTAGCCAAGGACACAGAAGACCTGGGTGCAACCCCCTCCTCTGCCACAAAGTTCCTGTGGGCAAGTGACTCAGCCTCCTTGTGCCTTAGTTTCCCATGTAACATGAGGATAATAGCAAGGGGATAATAGCCCTACCTTGCAGGGGCGTTGCTAGGATAAAGATTGTGAAGCACTTTGAGAGCTCCTGCTGGAAAGTGCTATATAAGAGCTAGGTATTATTACTACTGTACTCCCAGGATTTGAATGAGACTGTGTGTGGAAGACGTTACTACTGAATATGAGTAAGAGTGGCAGAATCCTGCTCACTGGAAGAAGTTCAAAACACATTGACCCAGACTGTGATTCCCTTACTCACAGGGATGGGCAGTTACTCACATGAACAGTCCCAGTGAAGTCCAGGTAGCCTAGTGATAGCTTCCCTCATGTTTCTGTTCCAGAAAGAAGCAATTGCTGTAGCTGGCTTGGGGATGTTTTGCAAATGACAAATGAGAGAGGATGTGTCCACAAGACAATCTCATTAATTAAGACATGGGCCATGTTGTGTAAAAGCTGTGGAACCCCACTATAGGGCAGATTGCAAATAACAAGGCAATGCCACTGTGCAATATTATCTAAGGCAACTTTGTCAAGTGTGAATGCTGTGGCTTAGATTTTTTTTTTATGAAGACTAGCCATTTCTATGAAAACATCTGCATTTATGCTGACTAGGATAAAACTTCCACCCGGTGTCCCCAAATCTACAATATTTTCCTTGTGGGTGGATCCGTACATCTGTGTGGAGTCCCATTGAAATTAATGGATCTATGCAGTGAGTCCGCCCACATGGATCAGACATCAGGCACATGGATTGTAAACTCCTTGGGCGAGGCACCCTGTCTTTGCATACACTTCATGCAATGGGGACCTGACCCTGACTGGGGCCCGTTGGTGCGACAGCAGTATAAATATTAAAGAACTACTAATACAAGCCATCAGCCCTCCTTTCTTAGAGCAGGTGTCCATCCCAAGCTGGAGGGAAGTCTCCCACCGGCATACAGTATGGTGCTCTATTGGGGATACTCTGTTCTGGAGTCATTACTGAGATGCTCCTAAATAAACCCTTCCTCTGTTCAGCTATGGTAATTCCTGTGTACCCATCTGTGTGCCCAGCCTAAACTCCTAGCGTTCCTGCCAATACACTCCTGTCACTAACCTCTCTCTTTGCAACAAGCTTCCACAAAACATTCACATAAAACACCACATTAATGACCCATGTCTTAGATGTTCAGAGACAACCCTGGAAGCTGGAAATAAGGTATATATAAGTATAATGATCTTACTCATGGTTGTCTTGGATCCTCAGGAAGATTCGTAGGAGGAATTCAGCCTCTTGGCCTTCTTCTGAGGTGGCTGGAACAACAACATAGGTCCCGGGGCTCAAGAAAAAGTAATTGGTGACATCACGGGTCGACACATTGAAACCGTACTTCAGAACTTTGGATTTATACTGAGAGAAAAATGCAACTGGCAATCTGTCCTTCAGGCCCTGGAACTGAAGGAAATTATTAATTGTACCATGGCAGTCCTCTATTCCCACAGCCCCTTTCATCCACAAAAGTCTGAAATAGCTTTTCATATTCAATCCTGCATATATGGGAATCACTTCACTCACCACTGCAATGCAATCATCTCTGGGGTGGAACACGGCAGTTAATAGTGCACAGCAGCACTACACAACAGTTAGGGAAGTGAAAAAGAACTGGGGGGATTTTAGGTGGGTGGAGTGTAGTTAGTTGATCTGGAATGTGCCAAGAGAGTGGGGTGAATACCCTAATTCCGGTGAAAATTTCCTTGGCGTATGTCATGTACATGAGTGCTCAGAGCCCCAGTTAAACATTTCATCCAGAAGACAGTGTCTTTAGCAGCAGTGCCATCCTGGCATCAATTCTCATAAGGAAATAATGTATCCTGATCTTTCTTTGGTTATTCCAATACTTTTGCGGAGATGAAACAATAAATATAATGTAACAGCTGTTACTGTGATGACATGTAAAGATAGCGTAATAAAAATCCTTACTAAACAAATTCCCTCAAATACATTGGAGTGTATAAATTCCATTTAGAATGGCTATACAGTGTGACACAGTTATTTATGAGCCATGCCTTTGGGAGAAAATAGTATAAATCTGCTATCTTGGGGGAGGGGGAAAGACTGTGGGCTTGTCTAGACAAGCCGTTAGAGCACAACAAGCTGGTGTGTAAATCTACACAGCACTGGCTTGCTGTGCACTAACAATCTGCCTGGACTCTGCTACCATACACTAAAAGTTCCCTGGTGCACTTTGATCTACCCCGCTTTGAAATGGGAGTAGGTGAATGTGCACTAGGAAATGTCCAGCGTGTGATTCCATGGTCCGCATGGACAGTTAGTTACGGGGCAGGCTAGTGAGAGGTAGATTTACACCCCAGCTTGCTGCGAAATGAGTGCTTGTCCAAGCCATGTTATAGAGGACATGGGAGCTGTCTGTACTGCAAGGCAGATCCACAATTGGCGTAAGCTGAAATCAATGGAGGTGTCATTTGGCATCTGGGTCTTATTCTGAGCTCCTGCTAGTGGAAAGTGGAAGTAACTCCCATTTACGTCACTGAAGGTAAAACTGGTGTGACATCAGAATCCGACCCTAAATATTTACCTAACTCTATCACATAACATGAACCCTCTGTGTCTGTCTATATATACCCTGCACAGCACTTCCGTTATCCTGCCAACACATAACATCCATTCTGCTTCAGAGTGATGATATGATGCGTCTCGATACACTGTGAGAGATTAATAATGATATTGCTGTTCTGGGAGTGAACTTGGTGAACTTTAGTACATGCTATAGTCAGACCTAGTGCCGGCAGCTCCAATGTAAACTTCTTAGGCCTGGTCTATGTGGGAAAGTTTTTTCAGGATAACCTAAGGAGTGAATCTAAACCAATATAGTTACAGCAGTATAAACCCCAATGTAGACACACTTATTCTGGTATAAGAGTGTTCAGATGGGGGATTATATTCCAGTATAACTAGTAAAACCTTCCTGTGTAGACAAACAGACTTACGCAGTTCTGTTACTGCCCCTTGCTTATGACTTGTAGCAACCTCACTTCAATTCTTGAGCTTCCCATTATAAGGGCCTACACTGTATCAGAATTCCGAGGTGTACTAGTATTCATGCTTGAGCTAGATTTCTGGTAAGATCTGAGCCATAGGCAAATGTCCACTGGAGACTATACTGAGACCACCAAACTGATTTCACTTGTGATTTAAGTCAAATCTGAACACAGGAGTTCCAGAAATGAATTGTGAGTGATATAATGGAATAATGCACTGACTGGCCTCCTGATTTAAGGTTAATTTGAGGGATAGCTCAAACACCTAATATCCAGATCCTCCATGGGTATAAATTGGCAGAGCTCTACTGAAAACAATGCAGCTTTGGCAATATGCACAACTGAGGGTCTGGTGCCCTGATGGGAACATTAGAAAAGTTTTCAGCATTGTGCATATGTTTGACATCTTCAGACTTAGGCCACTAAACCATCTCTTTGAACTAGGTTTCATGTTTGAAATGTCTAGATTCCCTTGACACTTGTGTTCAGATCTTGGCAGGATTAATTCCATCTTTCAGTGATCTCAGGCAGATAAATTGTGTCCTGCTCTGCGTACTGGGCCTGGTGCTCTTTTAGCTTATGCTGCTTTATTCAGTAGAACCCCCACTGAAGTCAATAGAAAAATAACAGTTTACAGGAGAATCAGGCCTACTGTAAGTAGGTCGTTAAAATAAGACCTCAAAAGCCAAGGCCTTTTCTGCTCCTTCTGGATATTAAAGGTCCTCTGACACTTTTTAAAAGAGCAGAGGTTTACCCAGAAGGTCTTGGCCAAAATTCTCTATCTCCACACCAGGATACTGTGTGGTTGTTAACTGCTCTCTCTCCCAGAGAACGCTGCATTTCAGTGATGCGTGTATATATATGTTTCTATATTTTATGCTCCTGGAATCAAAAGTGCTATATGAAAGTAAAATAAAGTTTGTTAAAGTTTGGACTTGTGACATAGCAGACAAGGAGATCTACTGTCAGTGCAGCAGGGGGAAGGAAACATTGAAAAATGTTAGTATGAGAAAAGGAAGTGTTTGCTAAAATATCAGAGTAAATGTAAAGAAAACAATACAGCAAAAGCCTGAATGTTAATGCTCATGTTGTCTGTGATAGTCATGGAGAATGCAATACAAATATATGACTATATGTACATGAGGAATGTACATGTAATGTATATGTGATATAGCGAAAACAATATATAAACATACACAATTATTAGAATTGATCAAATTTTTCTGATTTATTTTTTATGAAAACTTCAATTGAAAATCCAGTTTCTGATGATTCCCCTCCTCTCTACTCCTATCCAGTTCTGGTAATTATTGATCAATCAAAGAAAAAGAAAAGAAAATGAACATACCTTGGGTTCAACCTGGGAGGAAGAAAGGGGAAATGCAGGTTTTAAATATAAAATAAGCATGTAGCTGATCTAAAGCTCTGTTCTCTATTCGAACACCCCTGATTAGACAAACATTTCCTTGGTACTGTTATCTAATGTCAAAGCTGACAGTTCATGCAAGTCCCCCCATTTTTCATCACTCCCTCTTCCCTTATCCACACTCACACCAGCTCTGCTTTATGGCAGCTGATCATGTGTCTCTGAGGCTAGAGTTCAGCCCTTAATCTCTATGCAGAGGCAAAACACCCCTACTCCCCCAGAAAGTGTTAGTCTTTCCCCAGTGGATGCTGCTTACCCTGAAGATCAAAAATCCGGTGAACAATTTTTGTGCATTTGGCATATTACTGGCAGGTTTTTGCATCAATGACACCACCACATTATACTTTTTCAGGTCAGGCTCTTCCACTTGGATAAAGTACTGGGGGTTCCTTGAAAATGCACCTGCTGTGAAATGATTAGCAGTAGTAATATTAGCTGTACATAGCATTTAAAGGCCCCTGCCAAGATCAGGACCCGATTGTGCTAGCTGTTATACATACACATAGTAAGAGCTGGCCTCTGCTCCAAAGAGCTTACAACTGAACCAGACAAAGACCAAGTGCAGGAGGAAGGAAGTGTTAATATCCCCGGTTTGGAGATGGTGAATTGAGGCACAGAGAGATTAAGTAACTGGCCAGTGCTCACCCAACAAAGCCATGGCAGAGTCAGAAATTTAATCTAGATCACCTCAGTCTCAAACCCAGGGCCTTAACTACAATCCCATCCATTCTCAAGCCAGTAAGGGCGGTTTCTATTAAAACCCACGCAGACAAGGATACTCTAATGGAGAAGAGGATTGTTGGCTTAGAGGTTATAGCTGCACAACCATGAAAAGGAGGAGTTCCAAAAAAATTCTCCCCTTTTCCCAGAGGGCGATTGTTCACCATGAAAAATATATGGTGTCAGTAACAATGATGCAGCTCTAAAGATAAAGGCCTTTTGGGAGACCAGTCAGACAATGGAGCCAAGGTTTTGGTTCGTGGTAAGTAGTGGCCTCAAGGAAAGAGAGCTGGGCTGATGTGCATTTTCAAGATGGACACACAAGACTGAGAAGAGAGCTCTCTCTTAATATAGAATAGACTTTAAGTATTAATAAATCACAGGGGCAAACACTTGATTGTGTTGGTTTGGGCTTCAGAGATGACAGTTTGTTGAGGAGTGGCTGTATTTTGCATTACGGCATGTTCAGTCATGAACTATACTAGACGGTTGATGGCAAAATATACGCCCATGGAAACTGGCCTCCTTCTACCCACTGCCAATAGAGTACATCCAGCCATCCGCCAGCCACGCGCACTGACATGTTCATGTACTCTTAACACAGCCCTGCCTATCAGTCCCTCATTCAGTTTTTTACAGTACATTGACAAATTGTAATCAGTGTTACTAGGAGACTGAAGTCTGTCTATTGCTGAATAATGAAACAACGTTGAAGATAAAAGCAACCCTTTATTGATCACAAGCTTCTCTCATAGATTAAAATAACAACAACGAATAAGATGTGCAACAGCAACAAAACCCCTGAAGCTCAGCACAACTGAACGATCAGGGCACAGGCAGCAAAGCTGATGGCCTCATCTACCCAACAGAGTGTCCTACTACAAGAGAGCTTTGGGATTCTAGTCAATTCATTCAACAGGTATATGTGTTCTGTAATATTATTACTTTGCAAAGCAGGCTGGCTATCTCACCACCTCAGACTCTCCAGCCCCATCCTCGCCCTGGGTCAGGCAGGGCTGATATAAGGGACAGTGAGTTTCGATCTAAGAGAGTACAGGGTTTTTAAATCATCAGTTTTGACTCAGAGGCCAGTGATGCCTCCTCAGTTCTGCCTGCTTTGTTTGGAGTTAAGTGCAAGGGTGGAAAACATCAAACTCAACAATTTTGAATCAATACTTTTGCAATCCAGCCATCAGAGTGGCTTCGTGTGTGTGTGTGTGTTGGTGAGAGGGAGGAGAGATAATGGGGATGGGGTAGGAGATCAGACTGGGACATTCAGTACCGTTATGATAGTTGCTTCCACCTGCAGTGAGTCCTCGAGCCCACTGGTTTACATACATGGCCAGGGACCACCTTGTACCACGCTGATCTCCAAAGTCCAGGAACGATGGGGTGTTATTGCAAATACACAGCAAGGAAAATTGCTCTGTGAAAGCTTGACGTGACATCCTGGAAAAAAACGAGAAGTATGATGTTTCCGTTTAATACATCAGTTGGATACTAACGCTTACACTCGCGGAGTGGGAAAGTGGATCTGTAGCCAAGGCAGGAATGCGGTGTTGCAGGTTTCAGCTGATCGTGACAATGCCTTGTGGAAATGTGGAGTCTCCGAGCGATCACACTTGTACTACCTAAAGCCCTGATCCTACAACTGAATCCTTGGGGGCAGAGCTCTGTGCCTATGTGGAACCCCATTAAAGTCAATGGGATCCACCTGTACACATCCTGCTCCAGGATCAGGGCCTACCATGGTGAGAAAAGCAAGCCGGGGCTATGAAGTGGTCGGTCTCCAGAAAGGAAGATGCTGGACAACCCTCCACCCTTCAGTACCCCAGGCCAGCCACCACCCATACTGCATTCCAGCCCATGTCCACACTGCACTCTCCAGTGCCCCAGCACAGGCCCTACATTGCACGCTCCAGCACCATCCTGGTCCACATCCAAATTACATCCCAGTCTGCACTCTCTCTATATATCCATGCTGCTCCCTCTGCTCTGCTACCCTCTGAGCCTGGCCACACAAGTCTGCAATGAGGGAGACTTCCCAGTGGCTAAAGAGTCTGTAAAAACTGCAGCAAAGCTATATCTGAGCCTGACCAGACACATGAAATACTACCAGCCTAGACCATTCAGGAAAATCCAAACTCTGATGACTGGAGTCCTTGCTACTGTACCCAGCTCCTCTCTGCATCCCTTTGGGTGCTAATCCTTAAAATTTTGTATTTCTTGTTTAACAGGCCACCTACCTTGTGGTGGCCAGCCTGGTCTTGTGGCGAGGGCACTGTCCTGGGAATCAGGAAACCTCAGTTCTGCTCCTGAATCTGCCACTGACCTGGTGTGTGATGTTGGGCACATCCCTTCCCCACTGTGAGCCTGTTTCCCTTCCCAGCCTTGGTCTGTCAGATTGCAAGCAGGGGCAAGGACTGTCTCTAACAATGTGTTTTTAGAGCTTTCAGTACAATGGGGCTCCAAACTGTGACTCAGAGCAGAGAACAAGTTGACTCCTAAGCAAAGTGAATGAGCCATAGGCCCCTGGGTTCGAAAAGGAAAACTTGGAATATCCAAACATTAATGTGAACGTACCAGAATTCTCCATCGTCCTTATCTTCATAGAGATCTTTCTTATATTCCGCTGGAACTCGATCCCACTGGGGAGAGCTGTGAAAGGCAACAGAACAGCAATCAGCAATGAGGGGTCTGCCTTGGCCTTCATTCAGGGATTCTCAGCCTTTTCCATCCCACCGTCGCGCTCCCATCTAGCTCCAGGATCTGGCCCAAGAGTGCACATGAAAAGTGATGGATTGAGAGCCTGACTGGTACCCTACATTCAGCCCCAACACAATGGTAGCATTGGCAGCACAGTGTATTGGCAGCACCCGCAGCCATTGGGAAGTGGTGAAGTTCCCTCCCCCTCCTATTGACAAATTCTGTGAATTTTTTCTGAGAATTTTTCCCAGGTTTTTGTTGAAAAAAACTGAAAAATATTCAGTTGCCAAAATACTGAAAGAAGTGGGGTGGGTTGTTTTGTTTTTTTGACAAAAATCTGAAAGATTGCTACCAAAAATAGAAAATTTTTGGTGAAAGTTTCCATTTTCCTGAAAAACCTTTTTCCATCAAAAAAACCTTCTTTTGACTAGCTCTACTTCCACCTGTAGGTTTGCCACCTGCTTCACCCCTGCCAGGGGTGGGGGACAGCTGCAGTGAGTGGAATGGTACTTCTGTCTCCATGGACTTAGCCAGTCCTTGGGCTGACTTTTAAACCAGAGAAGTAGCGGTGATGGTTCTGGCTATGTGGACAGCGGTCTGCTGGGAAACAGATTGGGACTGCTACCCATTTCTCACAGGCCCACAACCAGCTATTATGTGGCAATGATTTGCAGCTACTACATTTGAATGGCCATCTAGAAGTGGAAAGTTCTGCATCCCATTTCCAGTTGCCTGCACGTACCCTTTGGTATCCGACTGTTTAATGAACTACTGAGGCTTTACAGTGATATAACTTCGCAGCGCCCCTGCCACACAGAGACCACGTAAGCCTGTCAGTTGTGTTATTTCCAAACAGCAGTTTTATAATTAAGTGATAATTGTATTTTCTGCAGAGCAGAAGATAAATAAACAGAGCATGAATCAATAATTTATTGATTTATGCAGTTTACCTTTCAGCATGCTCCACTGACATTTCAATGATAGCAAGGATTATAGTTCACCCTTCCAAAAAGTGGGAAATACTGTCTGAGCAGATAGCTGTTATTCCAGCCTCAAACATGTCTGCATCACCTACTACACTCCCACCGGCCCATCCAGACGTTAAGTGCCAGACTTATTTTCTCAGTGGAGAAGTTATTAGTGTTATCATTCACAGAGGGAAGGAGAATTGTTGTTATTAAACCATAACGTTGTCGTGGCACCTGTACAACTCTCTGGCTAGGAGAACACCAGCTTCAGTCAGCCAAACTGGATTCCTCACTTGATACCTATGTGCAACAAAGTCATCATCACAGTGTTTCCTCTGGATCATTCTCTTGCATTTGGAGGGGAGGGTGAATCCCCAGTGGAGCAACCAGGATGTCTGGCCTGCAAAACCCATTAATCCCTTGAGATCCACACTGGTCCTAGAAGATCCATTCAGGAGGGATAGCTCAGTGGTTTGAGCACTGGCCTCCTAAACCCAGGGTTGCGAGTTCAATCCTTGAGGGGGCCATTTAGGGATCTGGGGCAAAAATTGGGAATTGGTCCTGCTTTGAGCAGGGGGTTGGACTAGATGACCTCCTGAGGTCCCTTCCAACCCTGATATTCTATGATTCTAAGACAAGGGCTATGTGAATGGAAGCTCCATGCCTCTGCACTACCTCCAGGCCCCACCCCCGGCTTGGCTTGCAAGCATCCATCCATCCATCAGATCAGTGCTATCATGGCCACTCCCCCTGCTGGCTGCTCTCCCTCCAGATTTGACATCCTGGAGGGGGAAAGCAGCCCATTTAAAACTGCAGCAAGAGCATTCTGCACTGACATCCTTAGAAAGTTCAGCAGCATACAAGCTGCACAGTGTATTGGATGCCTATGGAGCATTAAACAGCAGAAAATTGCATAAGGGCATGTCCAGAACCTGTATTAGGTGAAAACAGCAGCTATCTAATCTGAGATTTACCTGTAGTTATCCACTGTGAAAACTGTTAGCTGAGAGAAAGAGGGATGTCTGAACTAGACCCAGTCAGGAGTAAGTATAAAAATAACATTGCATGTATGTTTTCAATCCCAAATTGGGCTCTTTTGGGAGGTGTTTGCAGATGGAAAAAGGGCTTAAAGCAGATTAATTTAGAGTTGCCTACTCCACTGTAGTCAGCCCTGGATATAGCCTCCTTGCAGTAAACCCACAAAAGCTTCACCCTTCTTATGAGATCAAATCTTTAAAGCCGTACCCGTCACTCCAAGGCCCTCTCCATTCCCGGTGACCCCAAGGATTCCAAACTCTGATTATATCTTCCCAGCCATTCTTGTATGGTATCTGTAAAGGAAAAGAATAAAAAGCCAACTGTAGTCACAGTCTTCTGTGATCAGGATATACAGTAATACAAGTGCATCTTTCTTAATATACCTTTGAGGACTCATTTAACTCCTGCCCTCATTTGGCTGCAGCTAAAAATCAATGTCTCTTTGCTACATGGTATTAGAAACAAAGCATCAGAGAACACTGCACCCATTTTTCCTTCGCATCGTGAGCAGAGGGCTGATACAGTCAGAAGCACTGACTGCCTTGCCACATCACATGACTGTCATATGCCCAGGAAAGTGCGACTGTCAGCAAAGCCAATGACTTCGTAGTACAAGGCCACCCACGACTAAAATGTATCTATATGGAGTGGAGAAGATGCACTGCAGCATAATCCTGAGAACAAGGGACTGGGGAACCTGTCGGTCAGGCTATTTATGGTATTTCTAAGATGCCTGTCATCCGGGAATCCAATCCCTGACTCCTGGCTTCTATTCCCAGCTTGGTGTTTCCCGTTAAGGCAGTGAGCTTCTGTGTTCTGCACAAGTTGGAGCATCTGGACTTGAGTCTCTTCTTGCTTTCTCTAGTGTAACTGAGGAGTAACTCCACCAAAGTTGGCAGGGGGTGGGGTAAACTGGTGTAACTGACAGGAGAACCAGACCTTCTGTGTGGCTTCCAATTCTTGTTCAGATACAGAGAGTCCTGGAAGTAATGAAGGCCTGGCTCACTGTGACTAGAACCCCTTCCAAGGCAAAGAGGCATCATTTTCTGGTAGGCGTCAAAGTGCTTTCCAAACACAAAACCTCCCAAACCCCACCCTCCCCCATGAGGTAAGCAAGTATTATTTTCCACCTTGCATAAAAGGGAAACAGAGGCAACAGGAAGTTAAATGACTTGTCTGTGCTCACACAGGAAGTCAGGGATAGAGCTGAGACTAAAAGCCCAAGTTTCCTGACTCTCAGGCCTGTGCTCTAGTCAGCAGCCATGCCGGGACAGCTCCTCCATCGGTGTAAATCTTCACAGCTCCATTTACTTCAGCTAGACCAACTGAGACTCTCACCCTCTCTCTCTCTCTCTCTCCCCCTCCATCAAGTGGTCATCAGCAGCATGCTCTCATGCTTCCCCAGCTTCACCTCTACCCGCTCCTCTCCCCCACAGGGCCTGGGGTCATAGCAATCCACCTTTACCATGGGGCTCACCATGGAGCCCAGCAACCCCTTGCCTAGATCAGCCCAAGGGATCACTGCTGAGGGAGTCACAAGGGAGGGAGTGACTGGAGCTAGGAATCAAAGCTAGGCCTTTGGCAGTTCAAAGCTGTTAGGACAGCAGGACCAAACGCCCTTCCTGAAGCATGCAGATTCTACTGTGTGTGTTTAAAGGGGTCAAACTTGAAAACATTTAGACCAAAAGAAAAAAAAGGCAAATATAGGACACAATCCCTTTTGCCAAGTGCTTTGAGATCCTGGGATAAAAGCTCTTGTATCATGTAACTTGTGTCCCTCCGCGAATGAGACTTTTCAGTCGCTGCTGATGGCCACGCCCCAAGAATTAGTCCAGGTCACTGTCTGGCTGTAGTAAGTAATTTGCTTTTCTGGATTATTTTGTTGTGCCAGATTGGTCCATATCCCTTCTAAGTCAATATTAATATTTGGTCAGGGGCGGTTGTGTGTAGGAAGGATAAGCCTAAAAAGATAGAGAAAGTAATTTCTTTATCCAGCATGAAACTCTTGACTTTAGGCCACAGTTTGATGCCAGAAGAAGTTTGCTCTTGGATCTGTGAAGTGCAAGCTACATCCCTTGATTACAGAAGATGAAGATGCTACAGCCTTACTCTTGATGGGATTTTATAACCCTTTGTCCCGATTCTTTAAAAAAAAGAAAAAAATCAACATTTCAAAAAAAACTTAATGGAACAGAAATTGTGAGAAATGTTCATTCACAAGTGTTGAAATCTTTAATTTTGACATTTCAGATTGAAACAAAACATTTTGACATTCCCCAAATCTATATTTTGTTTCAGTTTGTTGAACTGACCCGAAATGCTTCATTTCAAGCCAGTTCAATATTAAACTACATTTTCCCATTATGGCACATTGCCTCCAAGGAGCTGTACTTTGGGTTCCCGTATGTATCAGGCTCCTTGGCTAGACTACATCTCCCATGATGTACTCTGAGACATGTGACTCCCATGATGCACCACACAGAGTTTGGTCAGCAAGAAATCTGTATTGCATTATGGGAGATGTAGTCCTGCAGGGAGTTCAGCCCATAAAGAAGAATGGGGGGCCCAAACTACAACTCCCATAAGACAATGCGCTGACAGCTTTGTTTTATTAAACTGATTCTAAACATTTCAGATCAGTTCAACAAAATGAAGTATTCTGATTCAGGTAAAACTCAGAGAGAAAAAAATCAAGATTTCTGTAGCAAAATTGAGATTTTTCCCACAGAAAATTTTGATGGTGCATAAACTGCATTTTCCATCTGGAAATTCCTAACCAGCTCTACTACCAGGCCCCCTAACAAACAGAGAGGAACTTTTGCCCCTTCAACAGCAGAATTTCCTCCAGAGTCCCCGACAGTGGCAGCCTTGCCATTCTGTCATATCCTAATCACAGGCATTCTCTTTCCTGAAAGCCATGCATACATCTCACATGTCCCACCCATTATCACATTTTCATTCTCCACCTATCCACTCCCACTCCTCACCCCTACAATTTAGGAGAGTGGAATGGACAAACCATCAGTATAAAGTAGGCTTCTTTTCAAACCTTTCATGTTGTGGCAGCTATCACCAAGATCACATAGGTCTTGACCATAAAAGCCTCTGTCTGCTGCACAGCAAGGAGCTTAAGCTCTTTTGCACCTCAGTGCAAATGCACATGGCGGCAACATGTGACTGCTAAAAGTCTTAATTATGAGGTGCAGTCCACTGACTGGTAGCAGCCCTCTGCACATGTGCTTCCTTACTGAGGCTGGGTATAGGTGTAGAATGGGCATAGCTGAGGAGATATGGGCTTAAGTTCCATCCTTACCATGCCAATCTGTTTTTGAGCTACATGCTCCCCTCCTAGGCCTGACTCCTGCAACTCATGAGGAGTAACTTGATAGTCTTACAGCGGTGCTCTCTTTAATGAAGATCAGGTCCCCTGTGTTCTAACCTGGTCATCACTTTTTACCTTGTAACAATCTGCACCTGCTCTGGGTTCCAGCCCTTAGGGCCAGATTTTCAAAGGTATACAGGTGTCTACAGATGCAAGTAGGCACCTAGTAGGATTTTCAAAAGTGCCCAGGGACCAAAGTCCCAAAGGTATTTTAAATACCTTTAAAAATCTGGCCCTTAGTGCCTCTCCCTCCTGACCTTCCTCTAACCTCTGATTGAGTGGAACCTTACAACATAATGCACCATAATTTCCCTTAATTTGATTACCTCTGCTATCCCATCAATAGTTTATAGCCTGGAATTAAATTAACTCATGGACTGAACATACAAGAGTCTCCATGCATTTAATTTGGTTTTGTCTCTTGAAAACCCTGAAGGTTTGCTTAAGGTCTTTCATTTTTGGAACCAGTTACCCTTGGCAGTGTCATTGGCTGTGGGCGACTGAAGCCAGGAGTGTTAACACTGGTCTCTACTCTCCATCACTTTGGTACATTGCTTGAAAACAGAGAGCTAACCACATTCCCTTTATTCCACACACAAATCATAAACTGCAGAAATTTGGGGCTCGATGCAGGAATTACAGGTGAAATTCAATTGCCTCTGTTATGCAGGTGGTGAGACTAGATGATTGTAAGGATCCCTTCTGACCTTAACATCTCTGAAAGCAACTGTGAGTGGAGCAGCAGTCAGTATGCTAATCAGGAGACAGCCATGGAATACTACAGAAAAAATGATAAGTAGGGAAAAGGTCTCAGTTCTTACTTCTGTAGCCCCAGTCACAGTATAGGCATGGCCTTTTATGAGTCCGTTCTTCAACTCCATGTTACCAACCGATTGCTGAGGAGAGAAAGCACAGCCATGAGCTCCCTGAAAGACTTGCAAACATACGTTTGTTTGCCCCCCCAACTGCTATTTGGTTAGTTTGAGAAAAGAGAAAAATGGAGCTGACCTCACTTAAAACACTACAGCTGAGCTGCTGATGTAAGTGCCTCGTGTTTGTTTCCCCTGGCGGCCTGACGCAAATCCAGCCAAGTTAATGGAGCTACAAAGGCATCACACATCTGAAAAGCCCATAAGGATCCAATGTTGGAGTAGCTTCCACAGCTGGTGCAGCTGTGACAACACCTGGGGTGGGTCATTGGTAGGAACTGACCTAAGCACCAGTCTCTAGTTTAACGCCGACAGACCCTGGTCGTCAGTGGGCAGGATTGAATCTGGGGCCTCTGGAGCTTAGTGCATGAGTCTCTACCGCATAAACCAAAAGGCAACTGGCTGTTAGCTAAGGCTGTAGAGCAAATTCAATAATCTCTCTCTCTTTTTAGGTTTCAGAGTAGCAACTGTGTTAGTCTGTATCCGCAAAAAGAAAAGGAGGACTTGTGGCACCTTAGAGACTAACAAATTTATTTGAGCATAAGCTTTCGCCACAAGAACTCCTTTTCTTTCTTTTTAGTGGTCTCAGTGCCCCTAGATGGGACAGAACACCACAGACAGAAGGTGTGTGGGTGACATACTTCCCTTAGCTGAGGAAGTGTGTCCCGAGCTTCGGAGTCTTCCCAGTTGAAATCCTGGACGAGCCCCCACTTGTAACGCCAACAGACCCCAGTTGCCTGCGGGCGGGATTGAACCGCGGACCTCTGGAGCTTAGAGCATGAGCCTGTACCACATAAGCTAAAAGCCAGCTGGCTGTTAGCTAAGGCTGTAGAGCAAACTCATCTCTCTCCCTCTCCCTCTCTCCCACTAGATGGGACAGAACACCACACCCAGAAGGTGTGTGGGTTACACTAGCACTTGAACTAAAGGGGTAATTCAGTTCGTGGGTAGCAGCAGTTGGCAGCTATCATTTAGTGAACCAAACACTAGAGGTGGCATGACACACATTTTGCCAGTGCACTGCACAGTCTATATAAATCCATGGAAGTCTCTTTGCAGCACACCAGCAGACAACATGAGTGTTTTTATGATGGCCCCTATCAACCCAGGAGTGTCCATTAAGGAGGGTTATATCTTTCCCTGTATCTCAGAAGTGTGTTTTCAGCTTACAAGGAGCCTGCCTTATTCAAATGCAAACCTGTAATTCTACCAACTGAACTAGCAGCCAATACCCAATAGCTGTCAGCAGCAGACATAGTGGGTGTCTTCTCCAAAGACCTCCTTTTGGTCTTCCTGCCCTAGAAACTGATCATCTCAAATTCTGGTCCTGAAGTCATAAGGCCAGGTTCCATGCTGGTGCCAGGGAGTACAGTTCCATTCCAGCGCACTAGGCCCATTACATCTGAGGCTCCGATCAGGAGCTATCAAAAAACAGTTATGGAACCAAGCACCTTTGAGTCAGAAAACTTCCTTTGCGCTTCGTCATCTGCTTTCTATCCAAGTAGCTCAGCCCTTGATTTCTGGCATCATTGCTGATTAGCCCTGTCAAGTGGTCATCCCTTCCACAATGGTGGAGTCCAGGCCAGGATTTAGTGAGAGACTCTTTGGTGATGCTGGGTAGCATAGTCAGTCTGAGAGCTAGGGAAATTTCTGGCCAGCAACCCCAATAATAAAAAAAAAACCCTCTTTATATTCAATACAGCTAAGCTTTATTTCTTCTCTACCACTAGGGACACTACAAGCCCCCTCAACGAGTATCTATTGTACAGCGGTAGATATGGATTCCTGGTTTCTTCAAAAAAAAAGTAATATAAATATGGTAAAAGCAAGAAGACCTGTCCCTCCTGCTTACCCCTCCTGGTGTGGTACATCCCATCAGGCATTGTGATTTGGCAGCTGCTTTTGCTATCTCCTGCAGATCAGAAGGCGGTTTCTGTAAAAGAAATTGCACTTGGACTCCACCTGTCAAGTCTACTAGCGCATCGGAAATGTAACCCCAGTGCAAATTCTGATAGGAACCTCGCAACCTGGGAAAAAAAAGAAAAGAAAAAAGAAAAAGGGAAATGGATTTGTTCCTATGATCCACCCAAGTAAGCAATGCATAGAGGAAATTAACTCAATGGATGCACATTTAATACTCTCTGTGGTGCATAAACATATTATGAATGTACTACGTGTCGTGAGCTGGGGTTGAAATGCACATGCAGACACAGTGGTAACCCCTAGATTGAATCTGGTCCCTTCAGCACCGGAAGTAGAAACCTCTACCACTTGAGCTAAAGAGGGGTCCCTCTAGCTTTCAGAATCTATGAGGTTGTCTAGACATTGGGATCAGTCAGTGGAGGGAGGCATGATCAAATGTGTGTGCGCGCATGCACATAGATACACACTTGGCTGGTGTGTAACACACCAACAAAGAAGGAAACACACAGAGTGCCAGCATGCACCATTTCAATCCCCCTTACGCTCTAAGAAGTGGACTGAGACCATCACTGGCTATGCATCAGCAAGTGACGAGCCATCTGATAGTAACAATGTTTGAGCACTAGGGTTCTCACAAGGCCATGTTGCAAGCAGGATCTGTGTTTTCTTATCTTGTGCTTTCATTGCAACGGCAAAAAATCTCAAGTTAGACTGTACTGTAGTTAGAGCATGAATATACACATCATTATAAACCACAGTGTACAGTCAATTTCATAAACTGGAGAATCAGAAAATGAAATCCCAGGCTAATTGTATTTTGGACCAATGTCCTTGATGAAAGGAATTTGCCATGTGCGCTGGGGAAAACTTCTCAATAGGAATTTCATAAACAGCAACTCTTGCAATTTCAATTGAATAGAGGTTCAGTTTGCTCTGTAATTAAAATCTCACACTGTGAAGTAGTACCTACTTCGGAGTCAACTTTTATCAAATACATCGTGGCAAAATTCTCCACTTCTGTGTCTCCCAGTTATCATTTTACCATTTGCTTATTCCTTGCTGAATTCATTAAACCACCCAGTATGTGCTTAATGCACTCCCTGTATTATATAGGTAATACACTGACTTAATTTATGTCATAGGTCCTACTTGCAGGTCGCAGTGAGTATAACAACCTGCTACTTACTCACAGCTGAGGTGTTCTTCTTTAACTTAAGTAATACAGGACTTTGCTTTTGATGCTGAGAATCCAAGGTTCAATCCCCACTGATGACTGTAGTTTTATTCATTATTAGTATTAAGGTAGTAGCTAGAAGCCTCAGTTGAGACGAGGGGCCCTTTCTGTGCAAACACTCAATGAGAGACAATCCATGTCCTAAGAAGCTTACAGTCTAAATAGACAAAATGTGGGAGGGAAAACAGAGGTGAAGTGACTTCTCCAAGGCTAAGCAGCAGATTGGTAGCTGGCCCAGAAATAGAACCCAGGTCTTCTGAGTCCCATACCAATGTCCTATCCACCGGACCACACTGCCTCTCAGAAAGAAAAGTGTGTAAGAGACCCAGGGAACTTTAAATCTTCAGTTTAAAATCTACAGTCTTTAGCCTGTAGTATCTGCAAGTATGTCCAGCCACAGTTCATTACATATCCAGTGCTCAGAATATTGGACCATGGTCCTGAACAACACTACACAGGGTACTTTGTCCAAAGCAGCAGGTACAACGTATAGCCACACAAGCATAAGACTCAGCAGTGGCAGGAAAGACAGACTTGGCGGGTATATTTACTTGGCATATGCTTTCTCTAGCAGGGATGGCCAAAATTCATTTTTGCTGCGAGGTTGAACAGACAGGTATCTCTCATTGAGAAAAGGCAGCCGGTCGTCTATCACCACATCCACCCAGTCTCCAAAATGCCAGAACTGGAAAAACAAAAGACAAAAAAAACTATTGTAAGAATAAATAGTGCTGCCAAATGACAGTCTCCAGAAATAGCCCAAGACTGAATGTAAACCATGAATATAAGTAACTTCTTTGCTCTCTCTCATAAGCTATTTTGTACTGTTGCTGTGTACTGTTAAATAGGTGCTGACTTTCATTTCAGAGGTGGCTACCTTTCAGTGGTGAGCCACTTCTGGACACAAAGTGCTCTGGAATTACATGGGATGAAAAGTACATGTAGATGAGTAAGTATTACCATGACTGGACTAAGGCAGATGTTTCAAAAAGGGCAGAAAACTAAGTGTCCAAACAAAGTGGTACGCCTCGCTACTCAGCTCAACATGGAGCTTCTCTTGGTACATCTCGGGGCCAGAGACGCCCTTCACCAAGAGCTAGTCTTTGGATAGTCCATTCCCTCTCTTTTCTGTGTCTGAAACCTCTCTAGATCTAGATCTTTCTAAACTTTGACATGGGTTGTATTGGACAGGCAGAACACATTTGGGGCTATTATCCATCAGCTTGACAAATGAAAAGGAGGCAATTGGCCACTTCAACAGCTGTACAGAACAGGTGTTCTTCTGACTGATCCAGCTGGCGAGTGATCAGTGGGGGATGAACTAACGGAACTGTTGCTAGAGTCATTAGCAAACTAATGTAGTGCAGCAGGACTTTGATATCACAACTGGACAAATCCATACCTGTTGTAATGCTAAGGACTTCCGTGCTGTTATGCCAGGGATAAATTTGTCCCAGTATGGCTATATTTCCATGGCTCGGTGAGCAAAAATTACAGGGATGCATTGTTCCGTTTAAACGCTATTGCTATTTGCAGTGGGTACCCTCAGTGGCAAACTAGCTTGGGGTTCTAAATGGAAAGCAGGTTTGATCATTCTCCTTAGTCTTTCTCAACGCAAATCTTTCATTTAGTTTAGGTTTAAGATAGATGAGGAGTAGTGTTTTAGATTTTGCAAAAGTAAAACCAGGATTGGTATTACTCGGAGCAATGGAACATAAGGAATAGCAAGAACATTCTAATACAAAGATCTGTTACTCTGTGGGAATAGTCTCGCAAGAGAAACTGTGTACGCTCCTTTGCTAGCACCATCTTTTTTGAAGCTGGACAAAGTAAAAGAGAATGCACTTGAAAACAGTTTTGCATTGGGTATGGGGAAAGGACAAGATGATCTAATGGTTCTTTCCATCTTTAGTTTCTGGGACTTTGTGATACTCCAGTGATACCCTCTTATGCTAACTCCTGTAAGGACAGATCATACGATACTTGCCCTTCACCAGTGGTGAGCTGGAGCCGGTTCGCACTGGTTCGCTAGAACCGGTTGTTAAATTTAGAAGCCCTTTTGGAACCGGTTGTTCCACGAGGGACAACCGGTTCTAAAAGGGCTTCTAAATTTAACCGGCCAAAAGTGATGCCTTAGGCACCGACTCCACGGGTGCTCCGCAAAATTCAGGGGTGCTTGGATCTGGGGTTGTAGTTCAGAACCATCCGAGCTCTCCACCCAAACAAGGTGGAGCAAAATCACTAAAGCACATATTACATACCCGGAAATGAAAAATCCCAGCATAAGTCTCTTTGAATCCTTGGTCCTTTGGCATAACATTTTCCAGAAATTGCCTCTGTAATGTCAAAGATCCCAGGGCAGCCAGAACCCAGCAATCACCTTCAGGGAGACAAGTAATAAACCAGATGCAATTACACGTATTGCCTCATGATCTCCTTCTGCCTTGCCAGGGTCTGTATCTTTCTTACACTTTTCTTTAGGAAACAGGGTTACTGCAGAAGGACTGGGAGAACCAGTTTGGATAAAATAAAAATGTGGGCAGACTGTCGAGACTCAGACACACTTGGCCTCAGGGCCTCCATCCACCCGTTCAGGTCTTTTTCTATACTGCACCCATCTCTATCGTATCTGACTGCCATGAAGGAAGAGGGAGCCAAAGGCCCTGTGCAGAGGCACTTAGGCATCATACAGAAGCTCCTTCCCTTTGTGGGTATCCTAGTTCTACAGGATAGGAAGTGGTGCAGGCAACTGCCAGACCCTGAGTTGGCTGAGCCATTTGATGACAGTGCAATTTCTTCAAGAGGAAGACTCTTGTTACTCTCAAAAGGAAACATGATTGGGGGTGGCCGGGAAGGGATGGAGCTACAGCAGGACAGAGACAGGTACCTGGATCAGAAAAGCTGGTCAGTCGTGACAATAAAAAGAGAAGAGCGTGGAAAAGAAAAGCTGAGAGTCACCAGAAAAGGACTTCAGGGTCACGAGGCCAAATCCAACTCTGATAAAAGATGGCACACAATGGGAGTTGTACCCACTTTACATAAGGGTTGAATTTTACAAATAGAACTTCATTTTCTATCTGGTCTGGGTCTACCCTTCTGCACCCATTCTTCTGCAGGATGATGGGAGCCAGTGAGACATCAAAGTGCCTTGGCCCAAAGGCGCTGTAAAAGATAATGGTATTTACTATCTGGGATGGATTCTCTGTGGATTTGTGAGTGTGTGCACTAAACCAAACTAAGCTCTCAGACAGCGGCAAAGGAAAGGACTCCGGTCTACAGCTCAGGCTGGCTACTGAAACAGAACTTTGATCTTACCTATTTCTCCTTGAACAATATCAAATCTGCTAACACCGTCCACGATTAAATGGGGATTTTTCTCGATCATCTGAAAAAGAAGGAAAACAAAGTCCATTGTGAGTATCCAACCAGCAGTGCATCCTTCACAGCTATAGAGCCTCTCTTACGTCACTTTCAACTGATTCCCTATGAGGTCATAGTGGTGTTTTATGTATTTGAAATTCATGACTGTTTAAAAGCAGTGATGGGAGAACTGCAAAACCTGTGTTGCTTCACACAGGCATCCAAAAGTTCAGATGCTTCTCAGAGGTGTAGTCCAGATGAACGATGTAGTGCAAAGAGAAAGCACTATACAAATGCTAAGTATTGTTATTTTTATTATCATCCTCCAAGCTTCCTGGCCAGAAATCAGCTCTCTGCAACCACAGTGCCCCCTGGAGAGTGAGAAAAGGACCTTGGAGCTCTCCACACGCAGACGGAAATGAGAGACTCAGGCTTTCCTTCCCTAAACCATGCTGCCTCTCACAAGGGAGGAAGAATTATGGTCTCCCTGGCCTGACATCCCCAGCCATTCTGCCTTCCACTGGAAGTGGGGGAAGACTTTCTATTTAAATCACGATTTGAGGACTCTAGTAACTCAGGCAGTGGTTAGGGGTCTATTACAGGAGTGGGTGGGTGAGGTTCTGTGGCCTGCGATGTGCAGGAGTTCAGACTAGATGATCATGATGGTCCCTTCTGGCCTTAGAGTCTGCGAGGTTCTTTAACGCCTTCATCACCATGACATCTGGACACTGAGCAGCTTCAACAAACCATGCTGTTTCCTTGAGTTGGGGAGTGGGTGCCCATCCTTTGGAGAAGGAGAACTTTACATCTTCCAATCTAGTAATCAAAAGGTAGGGGGACTTGGGATCAGTCCAAGGGAAAAGGGACTTGGGCCTGGGGGTGTCTTTCTGTAGAGAGGGCCTCAGAAAGCTCAGATCATTGGCTAGGCATCCAGATTTTGGCTAGGCATCCAGATTTCTATAGGCTTTTCCAGACTAAACCTCTGAGCCTTTTGTTATTCACACATCTCTAATTTAGATCTGGCTGGGCTGTTTTGCATCATTTCTGTTAATGAAAGCTATGGACGCAGGGCTTATTTTCTGTGGACCAAATTCCAAAGTCCTTACTGTTGATTTTTCACTCAAGCCTTACTCAGGCAGAAGCTTCCCTGAATTCAATAAGAGTTCTGCCTGGATGATTAAAGAGCAAAAGCCTCTAAATTCAACCCTACATGCCTAATTTTTTAAAAATGTTGTATAAGTCCAAAATCAAAGCTTGGTGCAAGACCAGGGGGCATGGAATCACCATTGCTTTTCATCATGTTTTTAAACTAGACATTAAGAATGTTAGACAAATAGACACTGGATAAGCTAGAGTTAAGATTCTTAGCTCATGCAGATAACATCGTACAACTGTCAGCCACATTTGAATTAATGAGGATACTCTTTGCTACCTTGGAAGACTGAAATGCAGTCGACTTGCACTGACAGTAAATGCTAAGAAGACAAAGTGGTTACAAGTTGAAAAAGGGACTATCCGTAAAGTGTTGAAATGAAGCAATGGTGAAGTCGTAGAACAAGTAAAATCTTATGTGTACCTAGGAAGCTCAATCAGTGGGGACGGTCCATCAAGGATGAGGTTAAGAGGAGATGTCCCTTAACTACAAGGGCTGCACAGAAACTGACAAAATCATGGACTGATAAAAACACTCCATTTGGTACCAAAGTGAAAATTTATCAAACCCAGTGTACTAACAGTATTACTCTATGAATTGGAACCAGCTGCATTAAATGAAAGAGACATCAGACAGCTGGAGGCTGTAGAGATGAGAGGGCGTTTTTGAACTACTGAAGGTATAAAGGGGAATGATTTTAAGACAAAGTTATAAGGCGAGTTGGATGTGAAACCACGGTACAGAATTGGCTACAATCGAAAAGATTATGATAGTGGGGCCCTGCAGAAGACAAGCAGATGACAGGAAAATAATGCAAACACAACTGAAGTCAGTCCGACCATGAGGCTGACCATTGATTAGATGGCGGGATACCATATGCAGGGACATGACCAAGCTGGGGTTACTGGAGGAACAAACCATGGACAGCAGTGAATGGCAATGCTGTACCACTCCCTGTGTCTGTAAAAATACTTTGGGATTAAAGAGATAATTGCATGGGATTTAGTATTTATAGTAGGAAAATGCTCATTTAAATATCTCTCTGGGTCTTCTGTACGAGTGACCCTTGTAATATCTGCCGGCTGAGTCAAATATTTTACACCTCTTGTGACTTGTTGTTTGCTTAGGCATGTTCATTTGCCTCTGCATTTAGGATTAAACACCATTTCAAAACAGACTGTCTGTTTTGAAATGGTGTTTAATCCTAAATGCAGAAGCAAATGAACATGCCTAAGCAAACAAGACACAAGAGGTGTAAAATATTTGACAGCTGGGGTAAGAAAAATAGTTTAGCAGCTCTTCTTTAAGCTGGGGCGGATGCTCCCTCCCACCCACTTGATTTGACAACCTTCTGCACAAACCGGAGACTAGCAGCTGACGTGACTCATGTGGCTGGATGAGTTGAACTCCGGGAGACGTGTCAGCTTCCTGAAACGTTTTCATGGTGACTGAAAGCACCCAGTAGCCCATTAAAAGTTTATCAAACTTGTGGTACAAAGCAGCTCTTCCCAAGCAATGAATGGTGCATGGCACCAGTACTGGTGATTCAAGCGCTTGTGGATAATCGCCCAGGCTCTCCTAATAGCGAGACTCTCTGCAGAGTCACAGAACACTGTGGGCGCCCTCCCCCCATTCAAGAGCATGTGCATTAGTCTGCTGGCTGGGCGTCACAAGACCTGGGCTCTATTCCCAGCTCTGCTATTAGCCTGCTGTGTGACTTTGGGCAAATCTCATTTCTTTCCCCCTCCATCTCCCCTCCCGCTCTTTGTCTATCTGCATTGTAAGCTGTTCACGGAAGGGACTGTCTCTCCGAGTACGTGTTTGCATAGCGCCTAGCACAATGGGGCCCCAGTGCTCTACTGGGAGACCAAGAACCATAATTAAAAATAACGATAAGTTATAACCATTGTATTGGTTTCAGAGTAACAGCCGTGTTAGTCTGTATTCGCAAAAAGAAAAGGAGTACTTGTGGCACCTTAGCGACTAACCAATTTATTTGAGCATGAGCTTTCGTGAGCCACAGCTCACTTCATCAGATGCATACCGTGGAAACTGTAGCAGACTTTATATATACACAGAGAATATGAAACAATACCTCCTCCCACCCCACTGTCCTGCTGGTAATAGCTTATCTAAAGTGATCATCAGGTGGGCCATTTCCAGCACAAATCCAGGTTTTCTCCTGATGATCACTTTAGATAAGCTATTACCAGCAGGACAGTGGGGTGGGAGGAGGTATTGTTTCATATTCTCTGTGTATATATAAAGTCTGCTACAGTTTCCACGGTATGCATCTGATGAAGTGAGCTGTAGCTCACGAAAGCTCATGCTCAAATAAATTGGTTAGTCGCTAAGGTGCCACAAGTACTCCTTTTCTTTTTGCGAACCATTGTATTGTTTCCCCCTTCCCCATTTTTGCCATGAGGGGCTGTGGCGTGGCGGCATAATCCTAATTGTGGAGTCTAGGCAGCTTTGGATTTGTTACAGATCATTGCTTGTACACCACATACAAGCAAGTGAAATAAACAGGTATAGATATGGGTATGAAACTGCTGGAAATCCTTTTCTTTGGTTCCAGTGAAATGGACTGAGTGTTGTCGGAGAGTACAGTAGCAGAGCTTACACTAACAATGGAGCCAGAAAGCCCACGAGAAGACTAGAGATGATATGAGCACGTTATGGAGATTCACTCTGAAACTGACCCATTGGATTTAGCAGCAGATTTCAGTGCAGCCCGCTGAGATGTCAGAATACTTGGTTCTCAAATGAGAGTTCAGCTGACTTATTAGGGATGCTTCTCGCTCAGAGACAACCAGTAATTCTCTATCCAAACAAAGACACTGTACGAAAACAGCTCAACCTACATGCCTTAGTCATGTTTGTAGATGGGTTAGTAAATGTCGCACAAAATAAACAAAAGCAAAAAAAACACTCGAAAAATAAAACCCACCCAACACTGATTCAGCTTTAACTCCAATTTGGTATGCTCTCTAGGAATCTAACTTAGAATATTGCATAAACAGAAGGGATCACTTCTTCCAGGGTGCTTGAGTTACAGTATATGTCCTCACCTCCCTTCACAGTTATGGTGTTACACCTACCGGTGCATGGTGTAGGAGAGGGAGGATGGTCTAGTGGTTAGGGTACTACCCAGGGACTAAGAAACCTGGATTCAATTCTCTGTTCTGCCACAGACTTCCCATGTCCCCTTGTTCAAGTCACTTAGTCTCTTTGTGCCTGAGTACCCCATCTGTAAAGTGGGGAATCAGCACTCCCCAGAGGGAGTCAGGAAAATAAATGCATGAAAGATTGTGAGGCTCATAAACAATATGTTAATAAAGGGCTTATAAGTACCATAGATGGGTGGGGTACGGATTTTGTGCTATTCTCATAGGTGTTTTAGAAAAGCTACATGTAGGAGGAAGGGAAGACTGAATAGAGAAGTAGAGAGGCCTCTGGTGCATTAGCTTTGCAAGCTCAGGTTAGTGAGAGTCTATCAACAGCAGCAAAGCAGGTGCTCATAATGGACCTCGGAGAGGAAACTGATGCTTCCCTTTGGAATAATAGCAGCCTCTTTCAGCTCGCAACTGTGTCCCCAGAGGTCAAAACCTGAGAGTGAGGTTGTGATGACAGAGTTAGCAATTCCGAGTAAAGCCAGAGTGGAGCTTTGTTGGGGGGCTAAAGTGAAACTGACAATATCAGAAAGATTATTGCAAAATGTGGCAAGGCACACAATCATTTCCAAGCAAACCACACAGACGTCACAATCCACCAGCACAAGAAATGCTGAAGCTACACAGATATTTTTAAATACAGTGATGATGCGTGTATGTAACTAGGATGAGTGGTTGGTTGACTGTTGAAATAGGGAT